CAACCAACCAACCAACCACCCAGCCAGCCAGCCAGCCAGCCAGCCAGCCAACCAACACCAGCCAACCGACCAACCAACCCACCGACCCACCCACCAGCCAACCAACCCCAGCCAACCAACCCCGGCCAACCAGCCAACCGACCAACCAACCAACCAACCCACCCACCCACCCACCCACCAGCCAACCAACCCCAGCCAACCAACCCCGGCCAACCAGCCAACCAACCAACCCCAGCCAACACACCAACCAACCCACCAACCAGCCAACCAACCAACCAGCCAGCCAGCCAGCCAACCAACCAACCAACCAACCAACCCCAGCCAACCAACCACAGCCAACCAGCCCCAGCCAACCAGCCCCAGCCAACCAACCAACCAACCAACCAACCAACCAACCAACCAACCAACCAACCAACCAACCAACCAACCAACCAACCAACCAACCAACCAACCAACCAACCAACCAACCAACCAACCAACCAACCAACCAACCAACCAACCAACCAACCCCAGGCAACCAACCAACCAACCAACCAACCAGCCAGCCAGCCAACCAACCAACCAACCAACCAACCAACCAACCAACCAACCAACCAACCCCAGGCAACCCCAGGCAACCAACCAACCCCAGCCAACCAGCCAGCCAGCCAGCCAGCCAACCAACCAACCAACCAACCCCAACCAACCAACCAACCAACCAACCAACCAGCCAGCCAGCCAGCCAGCCAACCAACCAACCAACCAACCAACCAACCAACCAACCAACCAACCAACCAACCAACCAACCCCAACCAAGCAACCCCAGCCAACCAACCAACCAACCAACCAACCAACCAACCAACCAACCAACCAACCAACCAACCAACCAACCAACCAACCAAAGCGCACTCCCGGCTCTCGGCTCTTCGGCTTTCGCTATTGTCTGGGCGCTGCAGCAGCCGCGCCCTCAGGCGCCCCGAGCCCTGGGACAGCTGTTGGACTTCGAAGCGCGCGGCGCGGCCCTGGACACGGAGGCGGAGGACGCGCGGCGGGGTGGAGGGGGAGGAGGCGACTTGGCCATGAATCAAAGGGAACCCTGGCAAATGGAAATAAGTACTGAAACCGAAACCTGTCCCCTAGTAGTACCCATTTGGGGGGGGTGGTCAAAGGGAAGCAAAAAGGAAACCGAAGCCAAACCATGGAGGGCCCTCCCTAACAACAAAAACAGGCTTTCTGGTGCAGTTCCAAATGGCCATGGGTCAAAAGCCCCGGTTATTATCCAGTGAACATCCGATTCAATCCAACCACTTCGAAGTAGGTTCTAAAATGGGTGGTGAATTCCCCTACCAACCAAAATGGGATCCCGTTGGTTTTGAGCCATGGCCACTTGTGTGTGGCTTCCTCCTTAGGTTTGGAGGGAATCATTTGTTTGGGCTCGGTTTCTCCGAGGGGTTCCCATTTACCCGCTGCAAGAACCAGCGGTTCAAGTCCAGGTCCAAACCACCCGCGCGAACCACCAACTAGGGGCAGCCCCATCTGTGGGAGTCTTGGGCGCCTGAGCCTCCTGACTGGTCGCCAGACGTTGGCCCAACAATCAAGCACGAGTATGCTCCAAACAGACTCCCTTGAGCCTTGAGGTCGCATCAATCCAAGGCCCTTTTGCGCCGGGGGGTTTAGCTACCTGGAGTGCATCCGACAATCTCCTCACTGAAGCCTTACTGGTTGAGGATGCGGAAAAAAACATGTGTCATTGTCAGAGAAAACGGTTGGGAAACTTTGCTGGCACTGGAAGTGTGAGAAAGCTGGATCCAGCCAACACACGTATCACTGTCAGAAACCGGTTTTGAAAGTCTGCGGGCACTGGAAGTGTGAGAAAGCTGGATCCAGGTATCAATCCAACATGCAAATGATTTAAATGCGTGCCTTTTCACTTGCTGCGTGACCATGCCTCACGTGAGGTCCTCAAAAGGAAATGGTGCAAAACGGCTCAACAGCACGTCTGAACAACTGTGTCGAGAAAACAGGCGCTGGTTGCACACTGACAAGTGTCAAGGGGGACAAAGCAAACGAGCCCTTTTTGCGACGCCATGGCGGCTCGCAATCTTTTGCGCAGACTCTATCAGTTCACAACACCGGAGCAGTGAGCTGCTTCTCAATTGGTCCATCTGGAGCGCTTGGTTTCCGAGCAATGACGCCTGGCTCCTGCACGGAGTTTTGGCCTGGATCTGTGATCGGCATGGAACGTTTTCTCCCCACTGCCCCGCTCGCCTGAAAAGACCAGGTAAGCTCCAAGCCACTGTCACGCCCATGCACCACCAGCCTAGCAGCAATTCGTGACGCAGTGCAACCCACATTGCATGCGTTGCTTAAACATCAAGAAAGCGGACATGTCCGACTGCGCTGTGTTGTGAAGCATGTTCTTCTGCCATGTTCTCTCATGCTCGCGTTTTGCAGTATCATGCTTCGAAGCAAATCCTCATGATTCTTTACATTTGTTCTGCCTTCAGGGTACAGATTTCCTCCATTTGCCCAGTCTCCTCCCCCGGCCCCCACGCACACTGGGCCCTCCTCCGAATTCCCCTGTCATTTTACCGCGTGGGGATTCCCAGCCTCTCCGGCCGGAGCGACGCCTGCTCAGCAGACTGCAGGACCTCCTGCTCACCAGCCAAGAGCCCGTTGTGAGCCATGCCACCCGTACTCTGGAATGTCTCGGATGTGGCGCATGGTCTTGAAATTGTGTTGACCCTGTGGATCAGCTGATCAGCGCCCCTTTTGGGAACGAAAGGCCGGAGCCCAGGCCGGGGTGCCTTTCTCACCACGAGATGTGCGAACGGACTTGTGCGGTTGATTTATGTCCAACTGTCAACCGCTGCGCAACCCTTTCAACAGAATCAACTTGAGGCAAGACGGCTAGCCGCATGCAAAAGCGTGACCGCATCGCCAAGAAAAGAGCAAGCATGGAACTCAGCCTCCTCGTCTTGGATGTTCTTATGCCCTGCTCCCCTCTATCCGCGAAAGTCCTAAGTCCACCCGCTTCAGGCGTCGAAGCCCTCATGGCATCAGGACTGGATTGGCCAAACAAAAGTCCAAACATATCATGTCACATCAGTCCTGGACCGACAGGATGCGATCCCGCAGCAGGCCTTGCTGCCGTAGCAAAGTGGACTTCTCGTTCTCCTAGGTGGCGCTGGAACAATTTGCTAGCATGAACAGAGGGATCACTTGGTTCGAGGTTAGAGCTCTTGACGTTCCGGCGCTCTCGCTGCTCAGCTCAAACAAACTTCTCCTAGCCAAGTCCTGCACTTGAGCGCACCGCCCATTGGACAACCTCCAGTCTGAGAGCCAACAACCAGCAGCCAAGTCCAAGATGACACAACATAGCCGCAGGCAAAAAAAACAAATCTGCAACTGCGAATCCTCGCAAGGTAGCCCCAACAAGGCCTAATCAATGCTTACATAAGCATTTGGCCATTTGCCTTGCTAGCATTCACTTCAGCAAAACCCTTTTGGGATCTCTCTTGGGCGTTCACTCATTCTGCAAAATCAACGCGGAGAAAGAGATGTGGCGAAAGCGCTCGCCAACCTCCGAAAAGCCGCGGGGCGATCGCCAGGTGACACATTCCCCAAATCTACCGCCGAACCGCGGGAGATTCAAAGCCCTCATGAAGCCTCGCTCCGACATATTCGGCATCAACATGAGCTGGTGATTCCCCAAAAAAAACGTCGTGGCCATGCTCGCACTGTCAGATCAACGGGGGCCCCGTGTGTCCAATGGGAGATTGCCACTAACTGTAACTTTGATGCAGCCTCCTGTACCCAGCAGCTATCTAGTGATCTAGTGGCGCCGCCGGCACTTTACACCAAAACCAGGAGGCCCCTCTCGACCCTCACCCTTCCGCACTTCCGCCCACCTCGCAGCCCAACTCCCAACTTCCAAGCACCCGACAAATCAACACTGCTCCCATCCCTTGCATAGGTGGCCTTTTGGAAAAATAAATGGCCCTGGCAAATGGAACGCAACCCCTCTAAACCAATAAAAACCCATCTATTTTTAACAAGGCTCACCTAAACAGGACACCTATGATCCCTTGGATCGTTTTTCCAGGGCGCCAAGTCGTCCAGGAAGGTGCTCAGCATCCGCATGCGGCTCTCCAGGCGCGCGCAGCTCTGCGCCAGCTGCTCCTCGCTCATCACCGCCATGGCCTCCTCCGCCATACCATCCGCCGCGCAGACCCGCTGACCGCGCGCGGGGAAAACGTTCTGCCCGGCGAAACCGACGTGCGCACCAAAGGTGGCTGGAATTTCTGTGATGGACGCATCGCAAGCTGCGATGCATGGTTCAAAAGATGGGCTGAATGAGATGCTTTTGCGGCATGCTCTATGCAAATGCAGCTACGGCCCTGCTTCAGACAGCGTCTGTAAGGTCACAACGCCCTGGTTTCTCCATTTGGGATGGCCCTTGGCACGCAAAAACAGCAAGGCCGGGCTTCTCGCACCTGTCGCATGTGCCGCACGGCTTCCCATGGTTGCGAATTGCTGGGCTTCATGTTCAGGCGCTGCATTCTCTGTGCCCTGCTTGAGCCGAGCCACCCACGCGGCTTGGTTTTTGCATGTCTCTCCCCCTGAGCATTCAAAGCCAAAAAACGAACTGGCCGAAATCCCACGGCAACAACCCCAGCAATGATAGACCATGGTCTGGCCTTACCAACAAAACACACAAAAAAAAAAAAAAACACACACAAAAAACACCAAGGCCCTGCAGTCCAGCCCGACTGACAATAGAAGGGCCTCAAGCAAATGAACGCGCACACTTGTTTGTTTGTGGCGACAGGGCAACATAGGCAGGCACTATGAGCACTGTTGCCCAAAGAAGAGGGGAAAAAAAGATGGATGCGGCGGGAGTGCACCCCTCAAACGATTCATTTTCTAACCGCTGCACGCCGACGAATGCACGGAAAGAATCAAAGAAAGCCTCCACCAAAACCTCTCGGCCTGTCGGAAACCCTTTTCCGGGTTCCGGCCTTCTTGTGCAGCTGATCCAAGAAGGCCTTCCCTTGGGATTGCATGAGCTCTAGGAGCCGGTGGTTCAGGTAGCGCTGCACCTGAACACTCTCCGGCAGCGGACTAGGAAGGCCCGTAAGGCCATAGAGTGACATTGCTGAAAGGGGTGAAAGCAAAGGCCTTTCCCAGTCCCAAACTCCCCCTAACTCAGCGCAGACGGGCTTTGGTCCCACCTAATCTAAACTTACAGGCGTCGACTCAAATCAGCCCTAGAAACCAACATGCAGCGCAGCATGCCAGCTTGTGGATCAGCTGAAAGGTCCAAATCCAGGGATGGTGCCCACCCCCATCCAGCCCCCTCTGACCGACGCTGACCGGCCGACCGAGCCACAGAGCCTAGCAACCAACCATAGCCAGCCAACCAGCCAGCCAGCCAACCAACCAAGCAACCATCCACTTAGCCTCCTGCCAACAATTTATTTGGGCATGGGTCAAAATTAAACCACCAGGAATTGGACCGCAGGTTGAATCGTCCAGGTTTCCATTTACATCAAGCCATTTTGGGGTAGCAACTACTTTTGACCACCACAGCCATTTGTGAAACTGATTTTTTTTTAAAGAGCTCCTGAAGTGGAGAGCTGCTAGAACCGAAAACGAACACATACAGAATACTATGCAATGTAGGTGCTGGCACCCCATCGACGCAATACACCAAAAAGTTGTTCATGATAATGCAGTGGGGCATGTTGCTGGGCCCGCTCACAGATCACAAAGCAAAGCAAGCCCTTTTACTGTAACAAGAGTGCCTCTTCAAGAACCGAGCTCCACAATTTTCTGCGCGAGTAATGATTGCAAAGGTGACAACAACGTTCATCCCTGCAAAGGTCCGCAGGGGGGAGGGCGGCAAGAATGTCGAAGACAATTGGCTCACGCTAATACAAAATGACATAGGACCAGATTGACTGGATATTACGCATAGTCAATGAATGAATAAGTGAACGAGTGAATGACTGACCGAATGAAGGGTTGAATCAATGAATGAAAGAATGAATGAATGAATGAATGAATGAATGAATGAATGAATGCATGCATGAATGAAGGAAGGAAGGAAGGAAGGAAGGAGGGAAGGAATGAAGGAAGGAATGAATGAAGGAGGAATGGATGGATTGATGGATGAGTGGATGAGTGGATGAGTGGATGGATGGATGGATGGATGGATGGATGGATGGATGGATGGATGGATGGATGGATGGATGGATGGATGGATGGATGGATGGATGGATGGATGGATGGATGGATGGATGGATGGATGGATGGATGGATGGATGGATGGATGGATGGATGGATGGATGGATGGATGGATGGATGGATGGATGGATGGATGGATGGATGGATGGATGGATGGATGGATGGATGGAATGGATGCAACGGATGAAATGGATCAAATGAAAGGAGTAATGGAACGAATGCAATGAACGGAAGAAATGAAATGTTTCAAATGAGTCAAATGAATGGAATGAATAAAAACAAATAAAATGAATGGATGAAGTGAAGTGAATGATTGAAGGAAACAATTACAGAAATAACTTGAATGGAATGAATGGAACGAATGGAACGAATGAAATCAGTGGAATGAAAGACATGGCTGGAATGGATTTAATGGATGGAAATAAAATAAAAGGAATTAACGAAATGAATGGAACCAATGGAATGGATGGACTGACTGACAATTGAATAAACAGAATGATGAGTGGAATGAATGGAACGTATAGAATGAATGCAATAAATGGAATGGAATGAATGGAACGAACGGAACATGTAAAATGAATGGACGTAATTCAACACATAACTGCATTTAATGGAAGGGAATGGCATAAACGCAACGAATGAATGGAAGGGATGGATAAATGAATCAATGAATGAATGGAATGAATGGCATGAATGAAAAGAACGGAATGAATGATGGAATGGAATGGACATGGAATGGACATGGAGATGGAATGAAAGACAAAATCGATATTAAACTCCAATCAAAAAAGAAGCATCGTCTGGCCACCGAGCCGCCGCGAGGTTTCCATCCACCGGACCCTGGGTGACGGAGGTCTCGTCCATGGGGTTGGAGATGGCACCTGCGCGGCATCCGCTGGCAGCTCGGTTGGTGATGTGGGGGTTTGGGGTGTTGGGGTGCTTGGGTTCGTTTAGCCTTTGTCCAACAATCACGGAAGTGGATATGACGGTTCAAATGTAGTTGTTGTTGTTGTTTTTCTTTTATACCAGCCAGAGTCATTTCGATGGGTGGTAGCACCCTTCTGCTTTTCAAGAACTGTCTACCCCAAAGCGATTTTAAGTGATTGCGGTAACTGTGTTTGTTGTGGCCCAGATGGGACTGTTGTGTCTGAAGATGTGGAGTAAGCCCCACGTATGCCAAAATAAATGCCGCTGGCAAAAGTTCCAGGCTTCCCAAGAAAGGCCTGCCAAAATCCAAACTGCTAAAAACTTAATGCACGCCCGCTAATGCTAATTCATTCATTGGTCAAATTGGCGAAGCCTAAGAAGTATCAAGTAATTTGCTTAGGGGGAACGGATAGTTCTTGGCGAAAGTCCAAAACACACAAACAACAATCATTCAAACTTTAAGATTTGAAGCCCAACAAAACCCCGGCCAGCCCGGTTGATCCTTCCTGGTTGAACCGGCCTGAGCCAGATCCTGTGCTCTCCTTGGTGGCTGGGGGTGGGGCGGGGGGGGGGGGCAGAAAGACCTACCGCAGAAAAAACCGTCCGCAAAAACCCGGGGGGGGGGGGGGGGGGCAGGGTGCCCCAAAACACGCAGCGGCCCAGGATACCTCAAGATGTTTGAGGCCCGGCACCCCCCAAAAAGAAAAAAACAACTCATGGCAGCTGAAAAAGGGGCGACACCAAGGATAGGATTCTTTGAGCAAGGCGCATTAGCCATCCGAACAAGACCCCTCATTCCCAAGGGTGTAGTCCCAGGGTTTAATACACAAATCCCTCATCATGAAAGTTGCCCTAAACGTGAAGACTCATGTGGCCGTTTGGTCAAAAAAATGGATCCCATTTTGGGGTAGGTGAATTCACCACCCATTTTAGAACCTGTTAAAAACCTGTCCGCGCCCGGCACTTGCCATGACTTGAACCTTCCCCCAACCCGACTGCAGCCTTGCGAACTTGAACACGCAACCCGCAAGACCCTACATGCCCCTCGCGTTGCTTCATGCGTACCTCATGAACGGGATGAGACCTTTTGAACTTCGACCCCGCTCGCAACGCATGAGGCAAAACGGAGCGCGGAACCCGACGTCGGGCTTTGAAAAAGCCCAAGGCTTCCGCTCCCACGCTATATTTAGATGCTGCCTGAGCCAGTCTAGCACAAATACATTTGGGCGCGCCGTTTTCTTGCAGTCGTACTTTGAAGGGAAACGAATGGAAAAAATGGTTTGCAAGAACCGGTGACCCCCGGCATGAGCAACAGTCGTGGAAACGAGCAGCCTAAAAAAAGGCGGGGTGGGGGCCATTTGAGCAGCGGACATATCATGTGTTTTTCCTCATTTTGACTTCTTCATGGCCTCCCCAACTGACACCCCCACTAACCTTGTCCGCTGCAAATCCGCCGACCCCTTTCTCCAAAGGGGAGGCGCATGGGAAGGGTTTGTCTTTGTTCTTGTCTTAGTGTTCGCAGCATCCGGATCATCATCATTATTATACGGTTTCAAGTGTGCCGTGTGACCCGACTCGGAATGCGGCACAGGGCGGCGGCCCTTAAATATGTTGCAACGACGCAGTGGGCCATCGTTCTCGACAAGGCTCCATGAGCGACTCGTGGATCTCGATGCCCAGTCGTAAGGAGCCATCCATCTGCTTCTGCTCCATGATGGAACCCATCCGCCTCATCATCTGGAGCAATAAAACCAACGGGGTCTCCCGGATTCAGAAACCTCGAACTGCAAAGGCTGTTCTCCCCACTTGCCAGTGCTACGGAACACTTTTTGGTCTCCAATTGATCTCTCTCTCTCTCTCTCTCTCTCTCTCTCTCTCTGTCTCTCTTTATAACGGTAATTAGTGAAGAAGTCATAAGGTCAGAAGTAAATAACATGTTTCTCTTGTCCAAGCTCTTGACTTTGGATACGGCTGGGAGCACGTTCCTGAGATTAAGAACCGTCTTCATGGTAACTCTCCAACTCTTTAAATGCCAGCACCAAGAAGGAAGAGCCTGGAAGAGATTGGAAGTCGTTCCCCCTCTATCGATCTAACATTCCAGAATTAATAGATGATTTCTATAAGATTGGAGATTATTAGATATGCATTTAGTAATCACCAATATAAGGATTCTTGGACACAAGTATTCAATAACAAATCTGTCTCAGTTCTCATACCTCAGGTCCTTTCTTGGAAGTAATCATCAAGCAATAGACACGAACCGCCGGTGAGCGGTAAAAATGGAATGGATTTTTGGCCCATTTCGCCGTCCAACCGACCTCCGCCCAAATGGCACCTGACTCAAAATCAAACCCCGGTACTAAAATGAGGAAGGCGGCGGCAACTACTTCTGGCTGGGACCGCCCCTTGCTAACCTTCTCTCACTCTCTCTCTCTGCCGTTGCGTCCAGAGGGTCTTGACTCAGCAAGGCCTTACTAACCTTCCTCTACCCGAATCGGTTTTGAGCACGTGGCTCACCTCTGGCGCCGTGGCGCCCCGCTTCCGCCGCTTCAAAGTCCGAGGCGCTTCAGGCCGCAGGGGGCCTTGCCATCGAAGCCGTGGCGCAGGATCACCGACTCGGTGCCTGGCAAAACCAGGCTTCGAGGCGCCAACCCCGGCCACCGGTCTGCGAAAAGCTTAACTTTTAGTGATTTAATACGGAAAACCCATTAGTCGGCGAAGAGTTAAAGTCCTGACATCCAAGCAAATGCACTAAAGAACCGCTGGATCGCGTGCAGGCCCCGCTTGGGCGTCCAAAGCAGGCCCAAACTCAAGGTGTGAAAAGAGGCGATGCGATCCAAAAGCTTTGGGCTTAAGCCAGATGCCTCATACTGCTGGTTGAGGCGCAAGCCGCTTGAGGCCCCATATGGTCCCAAGAAAAGCTCGACTTGGGTGAAGATGTTGGCTTTACACTTGTCCAATTCGCATAATTCCGACCAAAACAGATAGATATATATATATATGTATATATATATATATGTCAAGATCCCCGGGGAAAAAAAAGGCCGTCAAATCAAATTACCTCCAAGTGAGGTGGCTATTCACCATTTATGCCATCCCCGGCACTGAGTTCCATTTTGACACGCCTTTCGGACATTCCAAAAAGCACATGGAAAATGGTCACGGTGGACTTCACGTCTACACAAAAGAAACTCCATCCGGCGATGAAACCGCTGGATCGGTTCAGTGCCTCTCTGGGTGAATTATAATAGTTCACCAAAATAAGGTGGTTTTGGGGGCTATTCCCCACGTACACCACCATTTGGGGCGAATTCGGTCGTGTGAGGTCGTGAAAAAAAAAATCACCCAGAACTTCGGGGCGAAAAAAAAACTGGTTTTCCGGCGTCCCCCACTTTTTTTTTCCGCCCGAGGGGCCCATGAAGAGCCGAAAGACCAGCTGCAGGCCCTTAGGCGCCCAGAGGTACAGCGAGCACTGATTGCGGCCCTCCTGCGCAGGGTTATGCTAGGAGACCTCCAACCTGCACCCTAACGTTTGTTGGTGTTTTCAAGGAAATCATCAAAAACAAGGCTTTCTTAGGTGTGCTGGATTTTGTCTGTTCACAGGGTTCTGCTAGGACCAAAAACTCATGCGATGGTTGCGAAATCTACCTGAGGACCTGGGCTCCCCGCTGAAAGTGTTTGACTTTCAGTGGGTGAAAGACGGAAATCCAACCACTAAACACTAAAAGGCCAAAAAGCTAAGGGGATGGCGCCTGACGAAAATTCATACTCTAGGGGTACCTTCCATTTCCATTCTTTCCAGGGATCCGAATCTTTCTAGAAAACCTCCGGACACCCAGGGGAAATAACGGGTTTTTGAGAAGAACGATGGTTGGAAAGAATGGGGAATCAACCCCTAGAAATACGATGGTTGCGAAATCTACCAAAGAGTGTGGACCCCAGGGGGGCGCGAAAGGGTTTCCAAACCGAAACACGGGCTAAAACTTGCGGTCTGGTGGTTTAATCTTCACCCATACTCAATTGGTATCAAATCAGGGCACAAGCTGCCGAAGAAGCCTAGTTAAATCCTGCACCACCTAAGAAATCATGGAATGCTGATGGTTCCCTTGAAAATACCAACAACCAATGGGTTCCTTTGGTTTCAAAGTGGCGCGAAACGGATTTCGTCCATCCGCAACCCAAAAAAAAAAACCTCCAAAATTCCGGCGGTTATGTTTAGAACCCAACTGGCGTCCCCGGGGCTATTTGAGAACCATGGAAGTACCCCAAAAAGCACACACCCATATTCCCAAAATGGGTACCTTACAAAACACACCCTATTCCAAAACGGGGGATTCGTTTCCCCCCTTGGTGTCCAACCCAAGCTGTTCCCCTTTGCTCGCTGTTTCTCGTTTACTTACATGCTTAGAAAAACTTATCTACATTCAGCAGGTTTGGGCTGGGGCAAACGTCCGGTGGAAAGCCTCACGAAACTCCACCGACCTGATGAGTGGCCCATTGGCAAGCCCGACAACAACACGCACGAGGGCGTGCTACTGAAGTCGAGGTTCCGCCGGGTCCCGGCACTGAAAGTTTGCCAGTGGCTCAGATCTTCTCAGTGGGGCCACATGCCGAAAAGGCGACCGCTCAGCTTCCCTCGAGTTGGTAATGGGCTTGGAATGGCTTGGAGTTCAGGCGCGGCTTCCCATTTAGCCCCTGCAAGAACCAGGGGTTCAACCAATCCAAACCACCAGGCCAAAAATGGCTGTGGGTCAAAAATAGGGTAACCCCAAACTGGCGCAAGCCCTGGTAAATGGAGACATCGGCTAAAATCTTGGGTCCGATTCCTGGTGGTTCCATATCGACCCACACCCAAATGGAGAGCAACCAGGAAGTTGCCTGAAACCCCATCCTCTTCTTCGCCATTTCGCGTGTGCACGCGAAGCTCCAGTTGCATTCCGCGGGCCCCCGCCGCCTGACCGAAGCCAGGGGACACGAAGCCTTCGCGGATCACGGCGAATCACACCGCGATCCGTAGAGATCGGACCACTTTGAACAGAAGTGGATTCCATATGCAGAGCCAAAAGTGTCTGACTTGCTGTACAACCGACTGCCCATTGCACAGGTCTGGCGTGCCCACTTGGGCACAAGTTGTGACCCACCGACCGGCCAAGTCCCTGCCATTCTCGTCACCTGACTGGGCTGCCCTCAGATCCCCCGCTAAAAGTTCAACTTTTAGTGGGCTGAATACGGAAATCCAACCACTACACACTAAAAGGCTAAAAAGCTAAGGGGATGGCTGGGAGCCACCAAGAAACATGGAACATTCTCACTTGCCCAAAGCACCTGGAAATAAAAGTTGGAAATCTTTTGGGGCCATGGCTACTTATGGACCAATATGGGACAACCATAAGGTCAAAAGGGTGGCTGTGAGTGAGCAATGAGCAACGCAGGAGCCTCGAAGGGCGGGGAGAAGAAGCTGGTCTGGGCATCACCCTCCAGCGCCGGGTCGTCCACACACACGCGGTCCTGGCATCTTCCAGCACCCTTGTCGCTACTCCGATTGGCGTCATTTGACCAAGGGCGCGCTCGTACCAACACACATGCTGGTGTGTAGAAACGGTTTCTCCAAAAAGGAAGCAGTCGTCCAAGTCTTCGACAGGAGATCTGTACGCTTCGAGGTTTGTTGGTGGGAGTCGGGAGGGTACCCAGGGTACGCAAAACAAAACATGAACACCTGGACGCAGCCATGCTACCCAAAACCATGAAAAAAGTTGAAAGGACGGCAGGCATCTATTTGTTGTTGGGACTATCCCTAGCTTCATCTGCCCGGGTTCTGATTGTGGCCCATGTTCAGCCCAGGCGGCGTCCTAGGGGCGCCCCCCTTGTTTTCACACACACACACCCACTTGGACCAGCCCGTGGCGCTTGCTCAGTGCAATCAAAGGAGTAAAAATCATAGTGGGGAACTTGCTTGCTGTGGTTGCTGTGGTTGCCGTGGTTGATGTGGTTGCTGTGGTTGGCTGTGGTTGGCTGTGGTTGCTGTGCTTGCTGTGGTTGCTGCGCTTGCTTGCTTGCTTGCCTGCCTGCCTGCCTGCCTGCTTGCTTGCTTGCTTCTTGCTTGCTTTGTTGGTTGACACAATTTTCGTAGGGACAACAATTCTTCAGGGTGTTCCCTACAAAAGTCCCAAAGCCAAATCAAGCCAAAAAACCGCCCACAAAGAGGTGATCAGCTCTGTGTGCGACTGTCCTGCACCTTTTCCAGCTGCTGGATGGTGTCTTCGTTCAGTCGCCATTCCACCTGCCACAGCATGGTATCATGACTCTCTCAGAAATGCGGAGGTCCTCGAATGTGCTTGGTGCTTGGTCTTCCTTGTCACGAGACCTAGGCTGTCCTCAGATCCCCCGCTAAACGTTTGACTTTTGGTGGGCTAAATGGAAAACCCCACAAAAAGCTGAAAAGCTCACCACTAAGAGACATGATTCATGGACAGGCCGTCGAGGGGAGACCAACAGCTGCGTGGGTAATGAGCCAGGCCGATCCTTTTCCGGCGTTTAGCTGGGGCGCCCTATGTTGAAGCGGGCCTTGATGGGGTGTTTGGGTTGCATTTCGTCACACCTTGACACCTCGCTGAACAGGTCTAGTACAGCAAGAGGTGTTGGACAAATTGGGTCGCAGTACCTTTGCGTTTGCTGCACTTTGGCTGTAGTACCTTTGGTTTTACACATTCTGCCGGCGCTTTCAGCTTTCTGTGACAGGACGCTCATTTGCCACATGACCAGAAGCCAAGTCCATGACCAAGTTCTCCATCTCCTTTTTGGTGCCCTTTTGTGGACATGTTAATTTTGTGACTTTGGGCCTGATGTAGCTCGCCAACTCAGGCATGCAACCTCCCCTCCGGCGGTCCGGCCCGGCACCCGTCAGGCGCCTGACGTGTGGGCAGGCCGGACACGCCCGCGCAATAGCCGCCGAGGCGGGTCGTCTCGCCTGCGGAGGGCGAAAACCAAATGGAAAGCCACCCTCGATGCTTGGGCCGGAGACCAAACGGATGGCCCAAAATTCCAGGGGTAGCTTTCATGTCCATTCTTTCCACGGATCCTTCTTTCTGGAAAACCACCAAAAACCTTGGGGAAATGGCGGGCTTTTGAAAAGAACGATGGCTGAAGAGAATGGAATTGGAATCAACCCCTACAAAAATGGGAAGGTCTCAAGGCTTGGGCCGGAGATCAAACTAAAACAAAACGCGAAACGTGCTGCTGGGGTCCTTGATTTTGACACGCCGCATGCCTCGAGTGGCTTCCTCTGGAAAAAGTGTCTGAGGATGTGTTTGTAGGTGTTCGTCCTTTGTGGGCGTGGTTTAATCGGCTTCTCAAGGTTTTGGGCAGGGCTGATCCAGTGGAAAGACTGTCTTAAGAGGTCGTTTTATGTGTTGTGTGTTTGTTAGATGTGTTTTGGTTTCTTGTGTGTTTCCTTAGTTTACTTCTTTCGAAGCCCAGACGAACAACAGAAAAAATAAAACGATAGAAACGCAGGCAGTTTACATACGTCCAAAAAGAAACAAACCTGCACTGCCACAGTCCGTGTTGGGGGTCCAAAAAGGGACGCACCGGGGAATGGTGCCAGCTTTCGGCCAGATCTCTTTGCGCCTTGCAGCAGCTGGAGGTCGCTCCGGCACTCCGCCAGCACGGCCGAGATCCGCTCATCAGTCTGGCAATGGAGAGTGAAGCCGGCGGAAGGGGGAAAGGCTCCCATATGTGGAGCGCGAGGAGCCCAACGAATCCTCTCCTCCCAGTCGCCTGATCTTGGGACTGGGCGGCTTCTTAGCTGGAGCGGTGGGAGGTCTTTCTGAGAAATCGGGTGAGCAAATCGTGGATGTGGGTCCATAGGCAGGCCTTCCTCAAACACCACACTCGAACATCAGTAGCCCATGCTCGACAGTTTGACATATTGAGCGGCTCTCATGCGGTTTTGTTGGGCCTTTCTCAGGAGCAAAAGAGTTGTTCAGGCCTTCGGAGGTATGCAAACACGAAGCCAAATGGATGGAGAAGTACCCCCCCAACCAATCCAGAACACAACCATGCCAACTTCAAAACGCATGCCCGCAAAGAGCAGCGCGACTCCCAAGTCAGCAATGTTGGCACCTGAATCCTGCCCATTCCACAGAACGGGGGGCCTCTCTACTCAAGCAAAGCAAGGCGCTCCTCCCCCTGCACGTCTGGAGCCATCAAAGATACAAGCTGCTTCTGAAACCACGTGGTGTGGCCGGCTCAACAAGACTCCTCCGACATATCCAATTGCGCGACCACCTGTTCGTTACCCGGTTCCCGGCCTCACGCCGCAACTGCCCGAGCTGCTCCAAGCATCCCAAGTCCTGCTCCCTGAGCTCCTGAGACAAAACCAAAAGTAGCCCACATGAACCAAAATCAAGATCCAGGGATTCCCCTCAAAAAGGGGGGTTTAAGTCTATCGGATTCATCTTTGGAATCTCCGGTACATTAATATCAGCCCTTATAAGAATAGAAGTATATTCATCAGGAAATAGGATTATATCTGCAGAAAACCGGAACTTCTATAATATAAGCATTACATTGCATGGCTTTCTTATGATCTTCTTTTTAGTAACGCATGGCTTGTTTGGAGGATTTGGAAATCTTTGCATCTTCTTTTGCATGATCTTAGTTTGCACCTATCTTTCAAGGATCTCCAGAAGTGGTATATCTTAGAGTCAATAATGTTTCTATCATAACTCTGTTACTTTCATATCTTTTTCTAATCCTTTCTTTAATCTCAGAATTTTGAGGTGGTACAGGATCAACTTCCTGTAAAATAAGCTCTTGTATCACTTTCTAAACCTACAGTATACATATGATGTCCCCAAGCAAGACTTCCAAGAAGAGAAAAGGATGACACGGCAAAGATCATTGATTGCTGAGCAAAGACTATTTGCTGTAAAATCCCAGAAATTATCATGGAAATGATCCCGAACATAGGATCTCCTCCAAATATTGGATCAACGAAAAGTGTATTAGAACGAAGATCGCCCAACATTAAAAGAAGTGCACCAGATAAGATAGGTAATGTTAATAAACGCATGAAAGCTGTAATCAATAAAGAGGAAGGAAATAATGGGATAGTCTTTAATATAGGAGAATAAGATCTCAGATTTAGAATTGTTGTCCAACAGTTAAGAGATGTAAGACATGAAGATATACCAGAGATTAATAATCCTAATATAAGATTTCCTGTACTTGAAGGTGATAAGGTCGTACAAAAATATTTAATTGGCTTTTTACATGTCTCTCCAATCCATCTTTATTACACCTCAGAATTACTTCTGTCTTCTTCTTTCTTCTCTTCTTATTCATGTTTACTACAGGTGGGTCAACAGGAATAATTCTAGGAAATGCTGCAGTGGATCTAGGATTACATGATACATATGTTGTAGCACATTTTCATTTTGTTCTTTCTTTGGGAGTAGTCAAAAAGTGGAACCCTGTCAGGATCTGTTGCCGTTACCCTCCCACCAATTAACCTGGAACGTTTCGACATTCGGGAGGTCCTTCTTTGGACCATGTTCCTTTCGAAGGGACCGGGTCCCGAACGGCGGGCTCCATGTGAAAAGGGTGGGAGGTTGCTTACTTGTTCACATATGATCCGGCCACGGGTACCATTGCTTTAGTTGCATATGAATCCCGGCGAACCCCAAGTTGGCCACAGGCTCACCTCCCTCACTCGAGGTATGAGTCGGTAGGTTGAAGTGGCTGTTGTCAATACCGTTTTGGGATCCCATTTCGGGGCAGGTGCACTTACCGCCCATTGTAGAACCTATTTTAGTGGGGATTGAATCGGATGTTCACTGGGGGTTTGCGGGCTCAACCAGCCAGCCAGCCAGCCAGCCAGCCAACCAGCCAAACAGCCAACCAGCCAACCAGCCAACCAGCCAACCAGCCAACCAGCCAACCAACCCCCAGCCGGGGTTATTGAAGAAACAAGTTTGCGGACAGAAAGCGCCCCCACATAAAGTGAGGACCTTCTTAGACCAGAAAGAGCCAAGACAAAAATAAAATGACGAGACACTGGTGGAGGTCCACCTGATAACTTGAGACAGGTTAAGTGGTGTAACTTTGACCCATACCCATATGTTCTTGCTTTTTTTGCGGCTTTTCTCAACGGTAGGAACCGAACCACCCGCGGCCACTGGGCATCAGAGTGCGCAGTCCTTGCTTCTCTCCTGGGCGCATGAGACATTTTGGTTGCCTCCGGCAACCGTAAAAGGGATGCCGCTTGCAGCTTCCAGACGAGCCTCGATTGGATTATTTCTTCGAAAGCCTTGAAAGGATGTCTTCGCCAAAAAGACAAGAAGAACTGGCCCCTTGCGGCTCGCCGGGTTTTTCTCCCTGTCAGACGTGCAGGGCGAACGTGTGGGACTGGAGCTTGCCTGCCTTCAGATCTTCGTGCAGCTGCTGGAGGTCTTGCTTGAAGGCCGCCTCCCATGGAGAACTCACCGGTGACGCGGCCGCTGGCTTCTCCCCTCTTCGGGGCTTTTCGGCTTCCCAAATGGGAGCAACGACGCTTCCCAGGCTAAAAACCCCGGCCATCTGCAGCGGATTGCAGGTTCTGGCGAGAAAACGTTGGGCCCAAGGCAGACCCATCTTTTACACACTTGCCCCCCAACAGGGTCCTTACGTTCTGAACATTGCAACTTGTAAATCGTGGTCTCCCTTGATTCGGGTGTTGAAAAAGCAACATGGTTCAAATGCTTGCAAGATGTATCTTGAAAATTCGGAGTCCTGCCCAACCTTGGCGTCTTTCTTTGGAACGCCAAGCCACACCTCCCCAGAGGCGTCTCGAAAGCGCGCCTCCTGCGCCTCCCGGCTCCTCTTCTCCTCCGCCAGCTGCTGATCCGTCTGCTCCCGGGCCTCCTCCTGGGCCTGCATTTTTTTGTTTTTCTCGGACAGCCACTGGACATGACTTGTGGTACCTCGGTGGCGAAATCTGCTCCCCTGCTAAAAAGTTTAGTTTTTAGTGGTTTAATATGTTTCATGGAAAAAGAAAAAAAAACATTCGTTGGCAAAAAGTGAAAGTCCTAAGATCCCTTGGCAAAATGCGCCAAAGGTACACATCTGGGCATCAAGGCTTGTCCGGCGCACGAGCTTCCCAAATGGATCTGCTGAAGAACTCACATGGAACCTGAGAATACCCCACTTAGATGCCAGTGGCCATGGGGAATCCTTACCCGGAGGGGGGAGAAAAAAAGAGAAAGAAAAAAAGGGCACCACTGGGCAACAGAGCCCAAGAGGCCTTGGCTTTGTGGCCTCGAGGGCAGCTCCGCAGTTAGAACTTCAAGGCAGCTCCCGCTGCCACACGGCAGCTAGCGAACCCTCCCCCCCCCCCGGTGCCTTCCGAGCGTCGGCTAGAGACAGCTCCAATGCCTGCAGGCGAGGGCTTCGAAAGTCAGGTGTTGGGACATGGGTCGCGTTCGGCATGGTGTGAGTGGGGTTGCTTGTCGCCCCCCCCCACCTTGCCACCTACCCTCAAGTCGCAGGCTTCTGGCACCCAGTAGGCCCAAGGTTGCAATCACCCCATCTCTCATCAAAAATTGGCGGAGCTCATTGAAAGAGGCTTGCAGGCTGCTGTTAGGTGTTCAGTCGCCACCAGCCAACAAATTGGCGGCATCAGCCGATTCACCCTGTTCTCCAAGTCCAGAAACGCAGCAGGGCCGAAAAAACAAGCTTCACCCTGGCCCTCAATAAACCCCTGACCTGGCACTGAAATCAAACTGCAAGATTTCAAGCGGAAGAAGTGAGACCTCTCCGCCAGTGCGAGGCAACGCCTTGCCTGCTGCTTCTCTCGCGTCTCTTTCAGCACAGCGTCGCACCGCGCCTCGCGCGCGAGTCTCGCGATCGATCGAGTCTTCGCCGCACGCGTGGCGCATGATGGCTGCGCGTGGCTTGGCAACGTGCCATCTCAAGCCGCAGTGTGCCCATGCTCAAGCATTCTTAAGCAACCTCCGCATCCCAAGGCGTCAAGCCGCACCAGTGCCTCCAAAGCTTCCCTGGTCTCCTGCCACAAGCGAGCAAGCGCACACAAGGACTGGGGGCGCGACCAGTGGTTGGGGCACAAGTAGCGTTGCGAGTTGAAACCCCTTCAACGGTTTTCAGGCTTGCACCTTGGACACTGGCATCGTCATACACAGTTTGGGCAGAGCACCCTGCGATTGACATCGACCCTGCAAACAAGTCTAAGCAACTTCGGGCGGCGCACCAGCGCTCCAAGCACCCGCCCAAATTCGCACTCAGACTTGGTTGCTGCAAGGACCCCCCTGCAAAAAGTGAGTCACTTTTTGGGGGCTTTAGTACGGAAAACACGACTTTATTTCAACCAACAAGTTATAAGGTCTACAGATCCGTTGCCCCAAACTGCAGTCAAGTTCGGACCTGAGCTATGGCCATTTTAGCCCGTGTGTCTTAAAATAGGGAACACCCCAAAATGGTGGGTGTCCTTTTCCCTTCAAACTAACCCCCAAAAGGGTACCACCAAAAGACATACCCATTTGAGCACGGGTCAAAATGAAATCACCAGGAATCGGACCGCATAATTTTGGTCTTTGTTGCCATTTACCAGGGCAAGCCATTCTGGGTGCCAAGTTTTTTTTTCCAAACCCACACCCATATGTCTACATCAAGCCTGCGGCAATGTGTGTGTGTGTTGTTTCATTGGTGTCTGTCGTAAAATTGGCGTCAGATCTCAGTCGTCCCGTCCAAGCCGGGAAAGCGCGCCCAAAGTGAGGCAGGCTCCTTCAAGTTCTTCTCCAGGGACTCGAAGGTCTTCCTGCCAAAGGCCGGAAAGACGCGCCCACGAATCCGGAACGCCTGGCCCCGGCAAAAAATGACATACAAATGGACACGCTGGCCAAACGCGGAAGGTCAAATTCTTTGGAGTTGCCGTCCCATTCTTTCCAGCATGTGGCTTGAAGCCCAGCTTGTGGCGCCATGGGGATTGACCCACTAAAATTAAACGATATGATCCATCAAACTCCGCAACCGAGCAGCTTCATGCTCTCGGAGAGGTTCTCCCTCAGCTTCCACCCGAGCAAGCGGCAGGGACGGACCGAAAGTGGCGCAAAGCGTCCGGTGGCCCCCTAACTCTTGGCTGGTGGTTTTGGGAAGACCCAGGCTCTCCAGTAGAGAGGTTCGAATCAGGGCAGTAAGTTTATTTTAGTAGGGGAACCCTCCCCCAAAAAAAGGGTGAAAGGGCACTGGGGGACCTAGCCCATGACAACACCTTAGGCACCGTGGCTTGAGGGCCTGAGGCTCCTTGCGGAGCCAGCGGGTGCTTGGCGAGAATCCCGACGGAATTTAGATGATGGGGCGCCCTTTGGCTCTTTGTCGTCGCCGGGCAATTTCATTTATCTCACTGCCGCTTCTCAAACCTGGAATTTCAAGGATAGGAACCGCTATTCAAGACAGGCTGCTTCGCCACGTCCCCCCCCCAAAACAAAAAAAAAACGAATGCTAGGACACCCCTGCCAAAAGCAAAACAACACAAAGTAAACATGAGCACAAGCAGGCAGACAGACAAAACAACTAGACAGCCAGCCAGACGCGCATGCAGGCAAAACAAAGTAAGGCAAAGCAAACTGAAATCAACACCAAAACAAGAAAACAAACCAAATCAAGTCAAATCAGCAAGCAAAGGAAGGAAGAAAGAAAGAAAGTAAAACAATGAAGGAAAGAAGGAACGAAGGAAAGAAGGAAAGAAGGAAATAAAGAAAGAAAGAAAGAAAGAAAAACAGAACGGACGGACAGACGGACGGACGGAAGGACGGAAGAAGAAAGAAAGAATCAACAAAAGAAGGAAGGAAAAATACACAAAGACAGCACAGAACAAACAATCGGTGTGGTTAAACAGACCATTCCAAGCCACGCCAAACCTAAGGGAACTAATCCGAACCAAGCTGCGCCAAACAAGTGGCCAAGCCAAACCAAACCCAGCATAAAGACTGACCCAAACAGCCAAAGCAAGCCAAGCCAAACTAAACCAATCATCCAAGCCAAGCGCTTGCCGTGTCTGTGGCTGCACTGCCCTTTGCGGAAACAGAGTCAAATAGAGGGGGTCGCCTTACCCATGAGTCCTGGGTCCCTGCAACCTGATGCCTTTCGGGGAAATTGTCGGCACCCCTATTGTCCCAACCTGCACGGCCCCCCACTTGGAAACACAGGTCAGCCTTGGCTCAAAGCTTATGGGAAACCAAGGCCAAAAGCTCGGCTTAGCAAGAACCTGTTGGTTTCAACCAACCCCCGAGAAGGCGATGCTATGGAGCGCAATTCCCCCCCAGCTGGCGGGACTGCTCATTCGCCGTGGGGGTTCTCTCTCAAAGCACCGGCCAGGGGGAGGCCCTGCGGCCCGAGGAGCTGCAGCTGTTGCAGGCCTGCGGCGCTCAGCCGACCCCCAAAACACCAACTGGTGAGCCCATGGCAAATCTTGCGATGGCGCGAGAGGGGAATGAGACATGGAATGACCCCCACGGGTGGCTTCCTGGAAGCCACGTTCCCTGAGCAGGTCACACCCTTTGGGAAAACGAACATCTGCTCAGAAAGAGGCGCCTTTCCAATTTGGGTGCCTCCTTTGGCTCTCCGCGCCTTTGCTCATCTCCCCTCTCACCTCTTTCTTGGCGCCGTCCAAGTCCTTCTTGGCCTTCTCCGAAGCCTCTGAGGCCTTGGAAGCCCCGAGGGCCCCTCCCCCCCCGCCGTCCCGCATGGAGAAGCAACGGGAAACCAACCGTGGCCATGGCGGCTTTGCCTCCAATGCGACACAGACGCAGAGGACGGCGAAAACTGGCGAAAACGAACTTGGGCAGCTGCCCGATAAGCAACGTTGCAAAAAAAAAAATGAGCGAGGGCTGCGCTACAAGTTGTGCTGCTGCCCAGGCACATCTTTCTTTGCTACCTCCAGCGCGTGCTTTTCTAAGTCCTTTGGAATGAGTGCAGGCATTTGTTGGTGGCGCCTAGCCCACAAAAGTATCAAGTATCGCCAAACATCTGCAAGGCAGCAGCCAGCAGTTCAATCATGTCTGGCCACCCCCTGCCGTTTGAATGTGCCGGAGTCCGTCCTGACGCGCTTTCTTCAGATCCTGAAGGGCTGACTACCCGGCTACCCACTGGGGCACTCACATGGCTCCATGGCCGACAATCCTGTACTAATGTTGACCCAGGATCTAAGTAGAACCCGTCCCACTATTAGGGGGGTGTTCCCTCCAAAAGTGGTCTGAATCCCCACTAAAAGGGGACACCCCCCTATTGATCAACCAGGGGTTTATTAATCCGGGGTTAACATTAGTTGGTAAGAGTGGTTTACTATTTTTCCCCAGCTGAAAGCTTTGGGGTCTCAGCCCAGATAGGCTCCGGGGTGGTCTGGGGCAGCCCTGAGGTAAGGTTCCACGAGGGTTCTACGAGGGTTCCACAAGGGTTCCACCAGGGTTCCACCAGGGTTCCACCAGGGTTCCACGACGGTTCCACGAGGGTTCCACGAGGTTCTGCGAGGGTTGTGCGAGCACCGCATGCTGTTGGGGATATCACCTGAGCTTATGTGCTTATGGGTTTTCATTTGTCCTCAGTGATGCAGGATTTTGTCCACCCGCAGTAGCAAAACATTGCAAAAACCGAGCTGAGTGGCACACAGGGAAAGGCACAGGCGCAATTGGTGCTTTGGAGCTTCCCATGCTACAAGAACAAACCGATCAAGGGTTACCTGATTGCTGACAGGCCATGCGAAAAAATGGGTGGTGGTCCCTTGCTTGCCTTTGAAACCGCCCAAAATGCGCTCCTCCATTTGCTCTTTGCGCGCTTGCTCCTGCATCTCGTGCAGCGCCTGCCACGTTTCTTGCCGTGTCTTTTTGTTGGCAGCGGCCGTGGTGAGCAACAACCCGCCCTTCAAGAGATCCCTCCACAATTCAGACTAATCCAAAAACGGGGTCCCCCCAAAAGGGATCTTGCTGAAAATCACGGCTTGAGCGGTTCCATGCCAAAAAAAAGAAAGAGAAAGAGCCTTTGGGTAAGGAGCCAAGAGATGCCCCATGTCCCTGAGCGTCCCTCAGCTGAATAACCCTGGATCCAGCCTGGTAATTCTGCTTCGCCAGGCTTTCTACACCTCACCCGTGCAAGCCGGACCAAGACACGTGGCCAAATCCAGGGTATCCTTCTTCAAAGTCACTTCGGAAGCCCCAAATTGGCAGTCTCAAGCATAGGTGTCCTTTTTGGAAAATAGATGGCCCTGGTAGATGATTGAACCACCAGGTAAACCAAACCTTCAATTTTGTAAGCAAGCCAACCAAAAAGGACACCCAGGGCCAGGGCCATGGCCCCAAGAGGGTGTCTCGGGGCCCCCAGCTGTCCACGGAGGTCTCCAAGGCTTTGGTCTGCACCTGCTGCTCCTGCACTTTCTCCGCCTGCTTTCGACCCGAGCCGCGTTCGGCCAGAGCCCCACTCACAGCGGCGCGCGGCTCAGCGCTGAGCCGCATCGACAAGCAACACGGACGCTGACGTGCATGGACACAAAAGGAAAACTCAGGGGAAAAAAGACGCAGAGACATGGAGGCACAGAGGCAACAGAGTAACAGACTGACACACAACCCTTTCAGGCCGATAGACAAACAAACAGGCAGACCTTATGTGCATATATATATATACATATATCTATATATATATACATATATATATATTTATACATATGTACATATAGAGGGAAAAGAATGGCACAAACACAAACACATTACAACGAACACTTATGTGTCTGATAGCCTAGAGGGTTCTCGCACCTGCCCTGGTTGGCTTACAAAAGCCCCTGTGCGAGCCCACGCCATCAACTTCCTCAGCTCAAGTCGATGGCCGGCACCAAGACATCGGGCTGGCGCCAACAAGCTTCAAGGCGACCCGTGCATGCGGTACTCCAAAACTAAAGTATTCTGACCCTGTTCCATGTTTTTTTTGCCCACCCGAAAAGGAAAAAACAACTTGTTTTGTTGGAGAGGCCCCCGGGCAATGTGTCTCGCAGTCAACTAACAAAGCATCCAGTCCGCCGAGTTTGAATGAAATCCCGCAAATGCGGGATCAAGACCTTTGGGGATCTTGGGCGGGTTCTGGGCATGCATGCACGACAGCCACATGTGTCAAGAACAAGCATACTGTACCAATCGCACATGATACCTATCCCAAATCGTGCCAAGGCCAACTCCCCGTCCTCAATTTTACCCAGCACCAATACCAAGTTGTACCAACCACCACCCACCATCAGCGGGCCCCCTATATTTCCCACTTAAACATCACCCCACCAGAAGAAGAAGGAAAAAAAAAAGGACAAACAAAAAACACGAACCCCCAACCTGACTCGCCCTTCTTGAGACCCAAAGGGAGTTCTTCCAAACCTCCCCACAAGGGCACCGGCCATGACCGAGCGACCCTCTGCCCCGTGCCCTGCCGACTCCCTATATTTCCCACTCACCTCCCCCCCCCCCAAAAAAAAAGACGAACCCCCAAAAAAACCTGGCCTTTCAGAAGAAAAAAAAAAGTCCGGAGATCTTCAAACCTGCCCAGGGGTCCATGACACCCACCCCACCGACCGGATCCGGCTCGGCATCCAGCTCCGACGCCTCGGCATCCAGCTCGGCCCGCAGCCGCGCCGCCTGCTCTTTGAGCCGCTTGAGCTCCTGGTCCTGCGCCTCAGGTCTCGGGGCGGCGATCGCTTTGATCAAGAACCCGGGGACCTCAAATCCCCGTCCCCCCCCCCCCCCGGAAAAAAAAAAATGGACATGAGCCACAACCAAAACAAACGGCATTAAAAAATGGTCGGCCGCGCTCAAATTCCGGCGACTGTCCCTTACAAACCTTCACCTGACTGGGGTTTGATTAGGGCTCAAATGCGTCCATACACTGTTTCCCGTGCACCTGCAAAGCGGAAATGCCCCCCTTTATGCGGGGACGCACCCCCCTTACCCACCCCCCATCCATACATTGCTTAGGTTCCCGCTGCAATAATGGGAACCCAGGACGAACAAACCTATCATTGGTTGCACAAACGAGTTCAGGGAACCCTTGCCCGCGGGGGGTGTTCCACCCCCCTTTTGCTAGGTTTATGGACCCGATGTCAAAGGCGGGGGAGTTGAAGGCCAACAAGGCCGAAACTGTGGTGCGGCCCTGCCTAAAGGTTAGCACAGATTCGCCAGACAAGTCTCGACCGATTTTGGTCGAGTTCAGGCGGGGCAGCAATGCATAGCAAAACCCAAATAGCCAACTCGCACCACGCGCGAGTTGCGCGAGCTATAAAATTGAGTAGCTCCTTACAAAAGCAATCAGTGAAGGAAGTCTGCAAGCTATGCCATGTCTGATGGGTCCAAAACGTTCTCAGAGATACTTTTGCATGGTCAGATTCAATGACAAATGCAATAATTCTGAGACAATGGCTTAAGCCTTAAAGGGTGCGACATAGACTTGTTATGCAGAACTATGTCAATGTCTACTTGTTTAGGCACCTTCCTATAGGTAGCCATGCTGCATCCTCATGCCCAACAGGCTGATGGGCAAACCACTGCCCACGGAAAATGTGGAAAACCAGCAATTGCCTACCTTCCGCGTGTTCCACGGGGCTGAAAAGAAGGACCTGGAGCTGGGGAGTTCTTCAGTGGTCTCACAGCCGAAATCTGAACCAACAAAACCATCGAGAAGCATATTGCCTTTTTGTGTTTTCGGGTCCAAAACCCAACAATTGGCAATTTTCGTCATGGGAAACCAGGTAAAACACCGCCCCCCCCCCCCAGAAACTCTCGCGACTTCCTCACTTCAGACCGCAACTCCCAGGCCCTCGGCCCCCTGCCTCCGCCCTCTCCTCCTGGCCCTGCACGGTCCTTGTCAGCGCCTGCGAAACGGCCAGGGCACTCGGGCCAATCGGTGAATGTGGGCTGCCCGGGTAAATGGAAGCATGGAGCCAAAACCTGTGGGTTTTTCTGGTGCTGCAAATTTTGAACAAAAACGCTCGAAGTAATTCAAGCAGCACGTTAGCTTGTCCAAGGTGCCCCCCACACCCCCCCGCCCCCCTGGACAACATCAACTGTCGAGGCCGGGCCGGGGGGGGCGTGGGGTGCGTCTCAGTCCTGCTGGCAGGCCGGGCCACTTGCAGGAGACAGTCTGGGCTTCGCAGCTATGTGGGCGGGGGCCGCCACATCTGAGTGGGTCGGGAAAGTGGGGCCCATCTGGTCTGTGACCAGCTGTCTAGGTCGGCAGGAGCGAAGAGCCTCCAGTCAGTGAGAGTCTTTGTCAAAGATTGTCACAGTCAGCGTAAGCGATCACAGCTATCTGGGTCGGAGAGCACGAGAGGACGAGGCGGAAGGCTTCTTGACGCATGTCGCTCAAAATTTAACCCCAAACCCGTCGGGTGGGAGCCTAGAATTGCCGACCTTGGCTGGAGCGTAGATTCGACGCATGCGAACGACACCTCTTGAGTGCGAGCCAGTGGGAGCCAACCCAGTACAAGAAGTAGCGCTTGGGGCGAAAAGAGGTTAGAAAGGTGCAAGTGGCTCGGATACTGGATGAATGGCAGTCACCTTTCACGGCTCCAGGGTCCCAACCAGCAAACAGGGTCACACACCATGAAAGCCGCCTGGAATAGTGCCTCCTCGCATCGCCAATTGGACAGGGTCCGCTCACCACTACCGACAAGCAAGCCTGAAAACGGCCCGACTTCAAGCAACTCAAAAACGTACCCAGAGGTCGGCTGTTGCCGGCACCTGACCCGACAGGGGAGCCGACATGCTCTCGCCTGGATCTGTTGGTTGAAGTCGCGGTCGACCTGCTTAGATTGGGCCTGACATGGGCGCGAAAGGAGGGAGAAAGGGGTGAGGCCCCCAAGGTGGGAATGGACCACAAGTGAATAGGCTAGCTGGAACAGTTCAAGGGTCTAAATGGTTTGTGGATTGGGGCCTGGACATTGCAAGCTGCCGCCATACGCAGCAAAGAAACCGTGTTGCTTGAAGGGCCCCCCGGAGATGCTGCGTAAAGGAAGTGTGACATGGCAGAAAAATATCCCCTTTTTGAAATGGCGGCTTCTCAAACGAGCATTGGTTTTCGTGAAGCAGCCTTCACACGGACTGACTGACTGACTGACTGACTGACTGACCGACCGACTGACTGACTGCCTGCCTGCCTGACTGGCTGACTGGGGAAGCAACTCTCCTAGATGTGCGTTTTGCACATTACAACAAAGAAGGGATGCACGGGAGATGCTTCATGCCCAACCAGGCCGGAAAGAACAAGCCCAAAACCCAACGGCCAACCAAACCATTCCCAACATAAATGCAGCCACACCGAATCGAACCCAAACAAAAAAAGTGTGAACTTTATATTTACCACTAAAATGGTCTTTCCAAAAAGTTTAAAGCCCACCAACTCAGGAAGTGAGCAAAACAAATCCAGCCGAAGCAAGCCAAAAGCCACCAGACCCAGCACCCGCGTCACGCAGACCCCGCAGACCCCCGCGCCCGCGCGGCGTCTTCCCGCTGGGCGGCCGTCGCCGCCTGCTGCCGCAGCTCTGCCTGGCACAAAGAGGCCGCGGCACCGTGGAGCCGAGCGATGAAAATGAAGGAACAAATAAGAGAAATCGGCAAAAATCAAACCAACCAACCAACCAACCAACCAACCAACCAACCAACCAACCAACCAGCCAGCCAGCCAGCCAGCCAGCCAGCCAGCCAGCCAGCCAGCCAGCCAGCCAGCCAGCCAAGGAAGCAAGCAAGCAAGCAAGCAAGCAAGCAAGCAAGCAAGCAAGCAAGGAAGCAAGGAAGCAAGGAAGCAAGGAAGCAAGGAAGCAAGGAAGCAAGGAAGCAAGGAAGCAAAAAAGCAAGCAAGCAAGCAAGCAAGCAAGCAAGCAAGGAAGCAAGCAAGCAAGCAAGCAAGGAAGCAAGCAAGCAAGCAAGCAAGCAAGCAAGCAAGCAAGCAAGCAAGCAAGCAAGCAAGCAAGCAAGCAAGCAAGCAAGCAAGCAAGCAAGCAAGCAAGCAAGCAAGCAAGCAAGCAAGCAAGCAAGCAAGCAAGCAAGGAAGCAAGGAAGCAAGGAAGCAAGGAAGCAAGGAAGCAAGGAAGCAAGGAAGCAAGCAAGCAAGCAAGGAAGCAAGCAAGCAAGCAAGGAAGCAAGCAAGCAAGCAAGCAAGCAAGCAAGCAAGCAAGGAAGCAAGGAAGCAAGGAAGCAAGGAAGCAAGGAAGCAAGGAAGCAAGGAAGCAAGGAAGCAAGGAAGCAAGGAAGCAAGGAAGCAAGGAAGGAAGCAAGGAAGCAAGGAAGCAAGGAAGCAAGGAAGCAAGGAAGCAAGGAAGCAAGGAAGCAAGCAAGCAAGGAAGCAAGGAAGGAAGCAAGGAAGCAAGGAAGCAAGGAAGGGAAGCAAGGAAGCAAGGAAGCAAGGAAGCAAGGAAGCAAGGAAGCAAGGAAGCAAGGAAGCAAGCAAGCAAGCAAGCAAGCAAGCAAGCAAGCAAGCAAGGAAGCAAGCAAGCAAGCCAGGAAGCAAGGAAGCAAGGAGGCAAGGAAGCAAGGAAGCAAGCCAACACGACATAAACGCAGAAAAAGCACATCCGAAATTGGGTGAATGACAAGACCTTGCTTGCCCAAAGGACCCGGGCAGCAAAAAGGTGGGTTTCGGGTGCTTACTTGGTGCCACAAGGTGGGTTTCGGGCCGATCGACCCCGGGAGGTGATCCGGTGGACCACCCGTAAAACGGGCTCCGCGTCCGCAACTCCTGTCAAATGCGCATGTCATCCATTGTCATCCCACCAGTTTGGGTGATGCCCACAGCAGGCACACAAGGTTCATTAATGTTTTCGGGTTTCTCAACCCCGGGTGATCATCTTCCCATGTGGACCAAATGTCGCCCCACCAAAGGTCCCTTACACGCTCACGGCAGGCACTGGCGCCTTCAGCTCGGCCACAGACTCGGTCGTGGCAAACTCGCCCTGGTGGCAATCGAGACTCCCCAGCGCCAGCGGCTAAAGCGGTTGAGAGGGAGGCTGCCCGTCAGAAACGCGTAAAAACCTCCAGGCGATCTTTGCCGAGGCACCTCCCAACCGGGTGGCTTTCGGGAAAGATGCCAAAGGCCGGCGAATGCATGGGCCCTGCCCCCGCCCCAGGCCCAAACAACAGGCGGCCTTGACTGCATGGGCGTCATCTTCCTTTCAACTACAGGATTTGGAATTTGGATGATCTCATAATTGGCTTTAGTACCTCCATGAGATAAGCATGAGGCATTGTAAGGACCGGTATAGAGGGTCCCAATCATGCCGGGTTTTCAAAAGTTGGCCAGTTGGCCGCACTTCTCACAATGATTTGAGCAGCGACCGAAACAAAAGCAGCGCCCCTCCCGAGCTTGGTTGGCAAGCGGGGAAAGTGTGTGGCTGACCGCACTGTGACTCCAAGCGGGCCAACCAAGAAATCCGAGGCCACAACTGATGGCTCAACCTCCCATCGCCCACCAGAGAAACGGCCCCGCCTTTCCCATGAGTCACGCCGCCCGTCGCCGTCTTGACGACAGGCCTCGCTTCATGCGACTCTTGGGCCCCCTCGCTTTGGACTCCGATCCGCCAGAGGGGCCCCCCGAGGTTCAACAGGGATCCTTACATGAAAAACACCTGAACATTGCCTTGTACATGGTGGCTTCCCTTTCTTTGGGGGAGGAAAAAAAAACATGTTTCAAATTTGCTTGCAAGATGAACTTCGTTTCTTCGGAGCCCTGTTCAGGCACCGGGATCAACGTCTCACGGGCACATCCCAGGCGAAGCTCGCGATCCCGACTCCACGGCTGCAGCTCCGACCCGGGCGCCCCGGCGTGCCCTGGGATTTGTGGGGGTCAAGCTCGAGCCAGAGGCTCCCAGAAACGGCGCCCACGGGTTGGGGGGCCACACCGGTTCAGGTGGCGCCTGTTTTCAGGTGCCATTTTGGGGGTGGAATGATACAGCAAATGCCAAAGGAAACCAACAAATGCAGGGCCACGGGTTTGAGACAAAGCGGTTTGTCTCGAAATGATGAACCACGTGTGGTCCTTGAGCAGGAGGCCAAACAGAAACCCGCCATTTCGGTGGGCGGCCAAACCACATGAGATCTCTCTCTCCCTCTCGCTTTCGTCTTGCTCTCTGGGCGCCCTTTCACTCGCTTCCTGAGCTGATTGGCCAAAAAAAGTCCAAACTTGTTGTTTACCAGCAAAATGGTCTTCCCAAAAAGTATAACAAGTCCATGAACTCAGGGAGTGAGTTCAGCTTCAAACACACACCAGCGCTTGCTCCTGACACCTATCTCCGCCCCCGCCGCTTTTCCGCACGGAAAAGGCCGGGGCCGGCGGGCCCAGGAAGCCTCGGGCTAAAACATCGCGCCCGGCGCCCGGCGCCACGCGTGGAATGGCTGTTGATTTGCTTACCCCTTAAAACTCCCTGCGCCCTGGGGAAGTTTTCATCTTTTACAGACATATAGCCCATGTGACCCAAAAAGTCGAAAAGTTGTGATTTTAAGAGGTAAGTTTGTGCATGCACGCCTTCACTCGCGTGTTTCGGCAGGTTGACTCTACGCTAGCAGACTTGCTGTCTCTTCCTCCCGGAAAGCCTTACCTGCGAAAGCAGACCGTTTCATGCTAACACAACGCACTTCCAAACAGCCGGCTTCGCTATTCACCAAGCTTGAAGGCAAACGCGTCCTCCTCTCAAACTGGCTCTGAAAGAGGATAGATGCAAAGGAAAACTCTGACCTCGACGTCGAAATGTCAACATTCTTCAGGTTTAACAAGCATGCATCTGCTTTAAACCGTTCAACAGCGCGCCATTGGTTCGTCTCTGAATGGGAGCTCCCAAATGGGTAGTATCTCTTTGCATTCCTTGTACAAAACATCTCCAGATAGACGCTGTCCAGGTCATCAGCAACCATACAATTGCATCCTTTTGTCATGTTGGATCATTTTGGACACAACCGGATTCAAAGAGGCAGTGAATGAAGCAATCACTTTGATGCGCAAGTCGGCAACGCCCTGTTTCTGTAACATAGAAAGGTTGGCGGGCGTCTGGGCAAGTGAGACAAAATTCAGACAAAGCAAGCCAAGTAGGGGAGTTGCCCTTCAAGTTGTACTCGGATACTCCCATGTGCACAGAACATTCTGCGATGCCAGTTGCCAGAAGAGCGACAACAACCATGAAACAGGAAAGACAGCCCCAACCAAAAATGCTGAGAGTGCCGAATTCAGTTCCAACCGACTTCTTTGGGCCCTCTAAGATTTGTTGATAGTTACATCATACATGTCCTGGAATTGCCGCCCACATCGTGCCAAACAACGCCTGCGGCCATCAAGGCGACAGCCTGAGCCACCGGGCGATCACCACAGGGCACCCGTAGCCATAGCTCAAGCGTCATCGAAGCTCATGATCCTGCGGTAACCGTCTGACAGTCAGATGGATGCCGTGCGACAAAACCACCATTCTCACGAGGCAAAAGATCACACAAAATATGCATGTCCCAACAAACATGTCCAGACCCCAGAAAGCTGCCAATTGGAAGAACCACGGCTTGCTCTTCTTGAGGGGCCGCCATGCAAACGCACCTGAAGCTGTGCGAGTGGTCGAAACATCCCAAACCTTGAACCCGGGAGTTCGCCTTTCTCTCGCGTCTTCCGCTCCTCTTGAAGTCCGCAAAGTTCAGGAGGCCATCCTCGCTGTGACTCAAGTCAGACCTTGCCGCCTGGTGCCCTGGTGCTGGCATGGTGTGATTTCGATCATGCTTCTTATGTTGTCTTGCCCTCTACTTGCCAGCTCCCATCAGCCTATGCTTTTTTATTGATCAACGTGCTGCTATCGACATCTAGCGACCCTGCGGGGAAAACGTTGAAGCTGCAAAAACCTAGGGTCTGACAAGGCTATGTTGGCTGTTCCGGGTTACAACGCGTAACATTGTGCACAACATGCGCCGCTCTCGAACCCACGGGTTTTTCGAGACAGCTTTCTGCTTCGTCCCTTCGACATCGGACATCTGCAGTGCACTGCAAAACAATTAATGGGCGACCCCGCTCTCCTTGCCTTGTCTGCATCTGCCTCCTCCCACAATGCCAAGGCTTCCTCCTCCTGGCAACAAGGTGGTGACCCCTTCAATTGGGTTCCAAGAGCGGTAATCAAAGGGGCAGTCACAGGCGGCTAACTCCTGTCGCTGCATGTTTTTGCCCACGCCGGGCAGAAAGCATGCAACGGTCCCTTCACAAGTTTGACGTCCTCCTGCCTGCGACAACATGAGCAAGGATACAAGACATCCATGAAGTCAGGAACATGGCGTTCCTTTAGCATTGCCAGCATGTGCGACAGCCAGCGTCAGCGCGAATTCAAGAAGCTGTTCAGGGAACATGGCAAGAACTGACTGCTGGGTCTCAACCATTTCCCGCAAATGCTATTGCTGTCGGCATTCCGTTGGCGAAGGCAGAGAGGGTTGCTCAGCCTAGCACGGTTGCGAATCAAAGTGAACTCAAGTTGACAAATTGCGAATGAGCGAATCAGGCCTCAAGCAGAATGCCTCCATCCATAACAGGCGGAAGTGCACATATTCTCACCCAGGTGATGCCAACTGCATGGCGTGTGCACGTGTCCTGGTTCCACTAGCAATGGTAAGACCATGTCAAGATTCGCCCGAACATAAGCAATCGAAATGTCCCCCACCTCAATGGCGCCACTGAAGTGCCGCACTGCTCGAAGGAAGGTGCTCTTGCCTTGCCGATGCTGCGAGCACGCCAAATATCAAGCCAAATCCAAGGAACACCTTCCAGCAACACCGCTGTGACACCTCTAAAACGATCCACTAAAGGAAGCTCACTTCAAGAATGCCCTGAGCTTTGAGATGCTGAAACCTCCTCCCCCGTTTTCCGTCCCCCCAAAAAAAATGAAAGAAAAGAAAACAGTTTATAGGCGTACATATTTACATCCACGCCTCTGTGTCAAAATGATCTGGACCTGCCGGGGTGCTGATGGCCATTGCCCCGCTCTCTTTGCGCAGCTCCTGAGGTCTCTGCCGCCAGCCCCCCCGCGACATTCAGGCGCCCGTGTGGTTTGGATCGATTTGGAGGTGATGTTGGAGTCATTTCCCATTTGAGTCATCAAAACCCTAAAATGGTCTACCCAGAACCCGGCTTCAAGAATTAAGAAGGCGGATAGCCGCAGCTGTTTATGGTTGGGAGTATCCCTTACTAACCTTCATCTACCCGGGGTTTGATTGTGGCTCATTTGCCCTTTGCAAGAACTTGGGGTTCAAACCTCCCAAACTACCAGTCCCAATCACCAACTAAGGGTTTCCTGAGGCGCTCGAAGAACGGTGGTCACGGCACAAAAAGGTGCCCTACGACAAAGAAAGGTGCATCGCCAGCCGAAATTTCAGCCCGGATTAGCCCGGCAAAGGCAACAGCAAAAATGCCGGTGTCCATTGCTCTGGAACCTCACCTCCACTCAACATGGTTCCCTTTACAAGGATCTTTCAAAGGGGCCCCTCTACTTACAATCAAAATAGCAACCCCTCTGCCTGCAATAGCTTGGCCACTTCACAGCCAGTGCAAGAAACTAAGGCCTGGAGAACTGCAGGGGCACTTCGTCGCGAAAGCCTCCGTGCGCGTGGGTTCAAAAGACGTCTGGGGTGGGTGCCTGCCCCAAAAAACCGCCGCAGGCTGCTGGCTCTGCGGGAGCTGGGGCAGACCGGGCCGGGTCCTCCCACATCTTCCGAAGCTCGGAGTCGTTGAAGCCCGGGGAGCGGCCTGGGCACGATTTCTTCGGGACGCCGCACGTTCTTCGGCGATTTTTCCCCCGGGCAAAAGAAGCTGTCGCTGTCGCTGCGCCATGGAGCCAAGAATTCTCAGCTTGGACGGGTGTTCGAATTTTTATGCAAGGGATTCTGGAACGCCGGAATGCCCATTTTGCGGGGACCGCAACAGTCTGTTCGGAATGTCTTGACGTTGGGCTAGGGGAAACGAACAAGAACCATCCTCCCAAAGCAAGGCCATGTGTTGGAAAGCCCCCTTTAGCAAGGCCCCCCAGTAATAATAACTTTATGCAGAGCCAGGGATTGCAAACGCATCAATAATGGAGAAGCCCCGCTTGATAAGCATGATTGACACGTTGTAAGAAGGTGCTTGCCCACTTTTTCCTGCCAATACCTCCTCTCCTGTCCCTCTCCTGTCCCTTTCCTTTGCTCTCAATCTCCCTCCCTTTCGACACCACCCCGACAAAAGATAGCTGCAATAGGCACCAAAGGCTGATGTTCTACCCGCCCGCCCTCTCCCCCCCCCCAAAAAAAAAAGAAAACAAAACAAAAAACAAGGAACACGCCTTCCGTGGTTCCAGTACGCCCCCTTTTGGGCGCGCTCCCGTGCGCCGCGCGGCCCTCCACGTGGCCAAAGTAGTTGGCCTTCTCGGCCTTGGGCACGGAGCTCCAGTCCTCGGATCGGAGGTCAGAGTTCCGCAGGCAGGACGCACGGGAAGGCTACGCCAGGGGAGGGTAGGTAGGTACGCTGGAGGAGGGTAGAGGGTGGGTAGGTACGCTGGGGGAGGGTAGGTAGTGTAGGGTAGTCTAGGGTAGTGTAGGGTAAGGTAGGGTAAGGTAGGGCAAGGTAGGCAGAGTAGGGTGAAGTAGGGTGAGGTAGGGTAGGTTTTGCCAGGCCCCTCGGCTTGCTGCAAGCCCTCCTCAGAGACGCAGGCAGGTGTTTGCCCAAGCAGCTCAGCCAAAACCGGTTCCCGGTCTGGACAAAGGGGAGGAAAGCAGCTCAGAGTCATCTTCATCTTCATAAAAATCCGTATCTGTGTTTGGCATGAATGACCAAGGGTATGCATGGAGGTTCTTGCTATTTTCCTTTTTTGAGCGGCTTGCAGTGAATACATCCAGGTGGAACAAAGATTCCTCGGCCTCACGAAAAATCCTGCATATTGCCCATGCGTCCCAATGCTACCGTTTGACCCGACAGTTGCCTTCCGGGGCGCAAAGGGCGGCATTGGCACCGGCTGTGGCTTCGGAGGCACCTGTCCGGGAAGCGCAAATGAACGCAAGCAGCAACTCACAAACATCAACAAGTTGAAATGATCGCTGGGCATGACCAACAACGACCAACAATCGCATGCGACCTCCACACCTGGATTGCCGACCATCCAGCAAACAAATCGTCCGCAAGCAAGGAGCAGCCCCACTCACTTGACGCAACTTCCAAAGAAACGTGTGTTTCCGGGTGGCAGCCGAGTGGTGCAGAGTGGGTGCGCAAGGCTGGCTGGGGGGACGGCCTGTTTGGTGCAGATCGGGTGCGCGAGGCCGGGGTGCAATCGCCCCCCCTTGTTCCTTCGCTCTTGAAAATAAGTGGGTAGGAAGTATATACTCGGTTGCTTTCTGCTCCCCTGCAAAAAGTAGATAACTTGAAGTGGTTTAAGGGAAAACCCATTAGCTGGCAAAAAGCTAAAGTCCTAAGATCCAAGCAACATGCACCAAAGTTATGGTCCAGAAATCTGGTCGGGCTGGAGCTCGGCGGCTGCTCGCCTGGCGGCGCCAGGACCGAAGCCGGCGCTGCAGCGCGTGGTCGCCGGGCCGCTCGCAGGCAGCGGTCTCCAGGAAGCGCCTCGAATGGGTGGCGCGTCCGTCCCGCGGTGCTTGAGTTGGTTACCTGCCTAGAAGTACGTGCGCATACGCATACGTTTATTCAATCTATTCCTACATGCGTGATGTGCATGTATTGTTGTGATGCACATAAGTGTGCACGTAGATAAAGCAGCCAAATCCGTGTGAGACTTGGTACCTCCCGAGAAGTACGTGTGCATACAGGGTTCCACTTTCCGACTACAGGGTAGACTTAAACCCAGGGATGGTTCAATCCCCCCAAAAGGCGAAGCCCTGGGTTTAAGTCTATCTTGGGGTTGTCTAAAAGTGGAACCCTGTGCGCATATCTCTCTCTCTCTCTCTCTCTCTCTCTCTCACTGTTGCGCCCAGAGGGTCTCGACTCAGCAAGGCAACGAAAAAGGTGCCCACTGAAAATCAGGGGCACCCAAGACGTGCGCATATGCATACGTTTCTTCCTGCATGCGTGATGTGCATGTATTTATATGATACACAGGAGTGTGTGTGTGTGGGCATGTAAACATTTGTAAAACAAGATTGGGCGCAGATAAAGCAGCCAAAGAAACTTACTGGCGCGATAGGTGGGGAGTGACTGTTCGGCGTTGAGAATGAGAACACCAAAAGCCAGCTTCCCTCCTTTTGGTGGCTTGAAGCGTGGTTTGGCTTTGATCTTGGGTGGTTTCCCATTTGCCCTCAATTCGATTCCCCAAACCACCAATCCAAACCACCAATTAAGGATAACCTGAAGAAAGAAAAAGGGAAAGCCAGAATGACACATCTAAATTCGGGGATCGGCCATCGGCACTTGACCACCTTTGGTTAGAATCATCGGATGGCCAGGTTCTTTGCAGCCAGAACGAAGGTGGCCAAGCAGATCCCATGGATCCCCTGGATCCCTGGCCTCGTGAAGGAGATGGGGCCTTACCTCCCCCACCATATTGCACTACCCCCAAAGCACACCATACCAGCCACCAGGAGTTCACAGTCCTCCCCCCACTGCCCTGGCACCCATGCCATGGCAATCTGTCTCCCCAGGCTTGCCAAGGCACACCCCTTGCTCGAGCCAGTGCTCCTCCACAGCATCCGCCTTGCAATGTCGAGCCACCTGAACACTCTAGAGGCTGTGGGTCAAAACCAATGGTACCATTTTGGTTGGTAGGTGCACCACCCAGTTTAGTCTATTTTAGTGGGGATTGGGATGTTCACGAGGGTACGAGCTTTTGACCCATGGCCTAGACATGCTGCTCAGGGTGTGAAACCCGCGCCCACTCACCCAAACCACCCAGCCACGAAACGGCCATCCAAATCTTGCGTGCGTGCTGCTGGCAACGCATCTCAACCACCAGGGAAACTACAATGCAGTAACCCGTGGTTGCTTGCTAGCGTCATGTCTAGGGTCCCATGCGGCCGTGGCGCAAGCAGTGACTAGGCAAATGACTTCGGCAATCCCGCCTCCGCGGACTTGTCATGCAGTGACTTGCATGCCTCCCGCCATGCACTTGCACGCTGGCCCGGCATGCAAAAGGCCTTCAAACAAGCAAGCTGGATTTTTTCCGCCCAACTTCACCTCCAAAAACGAAAATCCTTCCCATGCCCTTTGGCTGCCCATGAGGGGGAAGCGCAGGACCAACATGCGCGTCACCCAGTTGGGAAAACGGCTGAAGCTCAGATGCGACTGGGGGCCCGAAGCAACCCTCGGAAAACGGGTCACGTTGCCACCCAAAGCTTGGGGGCATCTCGGTGCAAGTGGTCCTGTCTGTTATTCCCACCCCACCCACCCACCCACCCCCCGAGGCAAAACCGCAGAAGGCTGCACGGTCCATGGGCTCACGACTCAAATCTCCTGATCCCCCAGCCTCCGCAGCCAACAGCAGCACCTCCGCTTTGTGCACCCCGCACTTCAAGGCGGCCCGGCAGTCTGCAAGGGCCTCCTGTCGATCCGAAACGAACGCCGGTTGCCTGCCAACCTAGGTGCCATTGCCTAAAGTTTTCAAAGCCCAGAGTTGTTGAAAACAATAAAGACACATTGCACCTGTCACCCACTTCGCCCAAGTTTCCCTCCCCCCCCCCCAACTCATCCATGAATCTGATGTACCCACGCGCCTTGTGTTGCCACTTCCGCTGCAGCACCTGCAAATACGGACCAAGTCCCGCAAAATAGTAGGAAGTGGCCAAGCTGCGACGAGGCGAGGGGCCTGATTCTTGGTTTGGGCCCACTTGCACGGGAAGAAATGGCATCATGTCCGGGCACGGGAGCTGGCTGATTACTAGCATGCAGCTCCTCTCGGCACCCTCTGCACGCTCAGAGCTCACCAACAAACCCTCTACAAATGGCACTACCTGCTCTTAAGCTTAAAGACCTCAACACCCAGCAGCTTTCTGGAGCCGGCACCATCGAGGTCGGGCCTCGGCCCGCTTCAGAAGCAGCAAGCCGCGCAATGGCACCACCTCGCCCTCCTGAGATACAAGCACTTTATGCACGTGGGCTCATGGACAATGACTATTTTTCTGGTTCCCTCCACCGGAAGAAGGGCCCCCAACATCTGACACCAAGGGCGTGACACACTTCTTTGTGCTGCTCCTCCACGGTGCCTTGAACAGGAATCTTCTTTTCAGCTCTCGAGACATCACTTGTCAGAAACGGAAAATTACGCGCAGGCATCATCAAGGCAGGGAACAACCGTTAGACCTAACACTTTTGAGCCCCTTGCGTTTCAACATATGCCTTCAACGCAAGGGAAACAAAGGTGTTGTAATAGGTCCTAGGTGTTGTGACGGGTCCCTGGCAGCCACAAACAGATCAACTACATGCCGCGCAGGGGCATGAGTCGCCAGCACAGATATCGCATTGGAGTAGCACTCATCTGCTTTGAAGATGTCGCCTGAGCAACGTGATCCGGCGCTGAAATAGCAATGCTATTTTAATGCAAGCACGCTCGCTTGGTACCACTTGGTCGCCCGCTGTTGTTTTGCCTCGAGGGGGGCTTGCGGGCCTGATTCAAGAAATGGGAAGCCTGCCCAAATGGCTTTGCCAACCTTGGAATGGAGCCTCCTTCCATGCACCACCTCCCGCTGGCAAAACGAGAGCTTTCCAGCTTTGAGAGCAGGGCCAGTGTCTCTGCTCAGGTCGCCCTGCTTCATGTCTTCAGCAGCCATGGTGAGGGCTGCCCAGCCTAGGGCACCCGGTCAAAAGTAAGCAACGGCCCGGAAACCTAGCAAGGGGGGAAACCACATGGACCGCAAAGGTGGTCTCAAGGTCTGGGGGTGATGTCAGGCAGCAGCGCTGTCGCCGGAGCTCCCCACGCAGCTCCTGGTTTTCCTCCTGCGGCTCCTCTCGGGGATGCATGTGCAAACATGTTGACTGCATGCCAGCATTTGCTTGTTCATACTTGTGCACTGTGCACTTGCTTTTTATTTTATTGCCGAGCGTAGTTATACATATGCATATATATATATACAGATATATGTATAGTTATCCATGTATTTCGTGTGTGTGTGTAGCTCTTTACTTATTGATCCATGTTGCCGTTATCTTTATATCCACGTTTATATTTGCTTGGATTTATACCATGCATGTCCAGACGCCTACGGCCGGAGGGTGAAAGGGAGGGAGGGAGGCAAGCAAGGAAGCAAGGAAGCAAGGAAGCAAGGAAGCAAGGAAGCAAGGAAGCAAGGAAGCAAGGAAGCAAGGAAGCAAGGAAGCAAGGAAGCAAGGAAGCAAGGAAGCAAGGAAGCAAGGAAGCAAGGAAGCAAGGAAGCAAGGAAGCAAGGAAGCAAGGAAGCAAGGAAGCAAGGAAGCAAGGAAGCAAGGAAGCAAGGAAGCAAGGAAGCAAGGAAGCAAGAGAGGGAGAAAGGAAGGAAGAGAAAAAAGCAAGGAAGGGAGGACCCCGTTCATAAGAGTCTTCATACTCCTGCTACAGCGGGCGGGCAGCGCAAAAAAACTAACTGCCGCCTTCTTCCTGCACGCTTTTGTCAAACCACCAGGCTAAAAAATCGGGGTGATTCTCGAAACAGGCCCAAAATAAATATATTTGTTTTATATGGTTTCTTCTTGGCTTCCCCAAAGCTACCAACCAAAATAAAAATGTTCGGAGAAAAAAAAGAATGAACAAAAAAGGAAAAACAGTTCCTCCCTCCCCAGAAAGTCCTCCCCGAGCATCTGCAAGGCCCGCGCCCAGCAGGCGTCGGCCTGCAGGCTGCGCACCGCTCAGAAATGGGCGACGGTCTATGCCCAGAGTTGCCCCGTAAATGGAGCCGTGACCCGCTGCAATTGACCTGCAAGCCACAGCAGCCCACGAAAGACTCAAAAAACACCACAAGCCGAAGACAAGCCGCGCAAGCTGGCAAAAGCCACAAAAAGCCGGGGCCAAGTCACCATCCAAATCAACGTGTGCGCGATGGTCAAGACTTCTATGGTCTATGTTCAGGGTTCCCTCAAGAGGAACCATTATCAAGAATCCCCACCAGGTGGATCAACGTGTGAAGTTAGTTGCTTGAGACAAATCTCGCGGGCCTGGCGCCACTCGCCGCGCTCTGCAGCCTCTTCGCCCTGGCGCCGGTGCTCGGAGATCCTGGCTGGCTCGACGTGGGATTTTAAGGAGGCAAGAAAAAGTGGATTCCCCTCCCCGACCCCTGATTGGCATGGTGCTGCACAAACTTGACATTGCCTGCGCTCAGGGAATGACCCCTACGAACCATCGCTCGTACTTTTCCTTGGAGGGATCCAATGAAAAGTTCCAAGTTCTTGAGGGTGTTTGAAGGGCAACCAAAAGGAAAACCAAACATGAATTGGAGGGTTCCCCATTCTGAGGGCACCTCCACCAACCAGATTTGCAGGTAGGTCCATTGTAGTGACATCCTCCACACTACAATCCTGGACATGGCAGATTAAAAGGTTTCCTTCAAGAAAAAGTTCCTCAAAACGGCATGCACACCCATCATCCGTACTTGTAGTAAAGGGCCAAAAGGTGATCACCTTTTATTTTCAGGCTCTTTGGGTAAGTGAGTAATGCTGACCCCAGATGAACCAATCCCAGTTTAGCTGCTAGGGGGGTGGATAGTTTACCTGGGTTTAGTGGGGAGTCAGACCACTTTTGGAGGGAACACTCCCCAATCAATAAACGAATCACCCCCCTATGAAACCAAACTGGGGTTGATTTATATGGGGTTTTTTATAGGTGTTTTTTTTGGAAAATAGATGGCCCTGGTAGATGATTGAACCACCAGGTAAGTCAGGATTCTCCTATTTCTTTTAAAGCAAAACCAACCAAAAAACAAAAACGAAAAAGACACCTATGGGGCCCCCTTCATGTTGACAAACCCGACGCACCCAGGCCGCGAAACCGGGTCCCCCACCCCAAAGCCCCAAACCCCCGCCTCCCCTCCGCCGCCGCCCGCCGCAGCGCCCCAAGCTCCACCTGCAAGGCGCTGCCCGCGCCGCCCGCGGCCTGCGCGCGGCGAAACCGCCGAGAGCTGCGTGCGGCTCCGCCCGGTGCGCCTAAGGCGCCTAAACCTCCCTTTGCCCCCCGGGAAAAAATGCAAAGACTGGGGATGGTTGCGAAATCCTCATTTCGCACCACCTAAGAAACCCCGAAATGATTCGATTCCCGTGTAAATTCCAACAAACTATGGCTTCCCATGGTTTCAAAGTGGTGCAGGATTTTGTCCACCCACAGTATGTCCATGACATTCTCACCCACCTCCATTTGCTAGCCTGGAAAAGATGAGGAAAAATGCCCAGTAGTGATAGATTCCCTTTGGGAATATATATGAAATGGTCCTAAGCAAGTGGAAGGTTTGGAAGCGGTTTTTGGTGAACTGAAAAGTTTTAGAGTCAAGAGAAACTCTTGAACAAGTCGAAGGGCTGGAGCCTTCTTCGCCCTGGGAAGCTCGAAATGCATCCCAGCCCTTTTGCCTTGGAAGGGAAACCGCTCGATCCCTCCAAGCCAGGGTCCGTCACCTTGAGTCCAGCACACCCGGCCTCGCCCTCCAGACAGGCGGCTGCAGCTTGCAGCTCCTGCTCCAGCAGCTGCCACTGGGCCTCCGCCAGCAGACCCACGGCCTGGGCGTTAGGCACGGGCGCGGAACGAGGGGACTACGATCCCCCCCTTCAGGAGGACGGGTCCCCAATTCCATTTATCTAGGCCTCCCCACAAAAGGGAAAATGGAACCACAAATGGAATTCTAGGGGTCACCCCCCTCCCCAATTCCAATTTAAAGGGGGTGTGGATGGACTATGGTTGAGCAGGTCCTCAAGGGGTCCGTTCAGGTCCGTTCAGGTCCGTTCGCGGGCGGGACGCCCTGCGAGTTGCAGGTTGAGTGGGGTCCCATGAGCTTGAGCCAGTGAAACAGTCGACCTTGCCTGCAAGTTCCGATCTTTTGCCAAGGCAAACTTGAACTTGCGCGAGGGCAACTCCATGCAGCCGGTTTGGTTTGGAAGCTCTTGAGCGCACCAGAAGCAAAGGAGCACATTTGCTCTTTCAGCGAGTTCCACACGATTTCGCCCAAAGCATCCAGAGACCACATGGAGTCACAGGGAGATCCTCTGACAACGGCTGGTTCACACGTGATTTACGACGTGGCCCCGGGATTGTGCCCAAAAATGGTCTCAACGTAACATGCACGCACACAAGTTTCCCACCCGGCATGATCTTCATCTGCATCCTTTGAAATTAAAAGGAGAATGGCCATGATGTGCAACTGGAAGCAACCTCACAAATGGGTGACAATCAACCCTATATAATGATGTCCACCACCTACCTCCGCCAACAAAAGGGGGGCAGCAACCTGCAGCCTGCAGCCCCTGGAGCCCTCCATCCCTCCCCACGACCTCCCCCTCCCCCCGCCCCCACGCCCAGCCTGGTCCATGTGCGCCGCCGCCAAACCCCGCTGCGCCTCCCGCAGCTCCTTCGCGGCGCCTGCGCCTGCCTCGCCTGAGGCCCGGCAGGGCTGCAGTCTTCATATGTGTGTAGATAAAGTTGTATACCCATATGTATATAGAGAGAGAGAGAGAGAGAGAGATAGAGAGAGAGAGAGAGATAATCCCGTACCCCAGTGAACATCCCTTTTTCCCCACTAAAATAGACTACAAAATGGGTGGCGAATTCACCTACCAACCAAAATGGGATCCCATTGGTTTTGACCCACCCCCATATCCCTCTCCAACCCGCGCCTGCGGCTGCAAGGGAAGTCATGTCCTTTTAGACAGTTACCAGGACCCAACGCGGGCTCATTTCACAATGTTGGCAAACCTTGCGCACATGACCCACCGAGACTCTGCCACCCATAGAAAAGCTGTTGCTTCTGCTTTTGTGCAGGGTGTCTATGTCACTCCTCCTCTGGATCCTTGTTCAATCAATTCAGACAAATGTTGGTCATAAACTAAATAAACCCACTTAACACAAGCACATTTGAACATAGCATCAGAAGCAAAGTTGGGCAACGCGCAAAAGAGAAGTTGGGTAGAATGTAACAAGACACAGGGTCTAAACCATAATCTGTCCTACATACACCTCTGAAGTGTTCAAACCGTCAGTCAATAATAAAACACCGGTTGTCAAATAGAACTTGGTCTCTCATAGCTTCAACGCTAAAATGCGTTCATATTAATTTGCTTGCTCATAGTCTTCTTTATTAACTCGCTCAATTGCCCGCAAACCATCTGTGTATTGTGTAAGGGTACCGGCGTAAGTATCACCCCCCCCTTTTCGTCTGTCAAGTTACAAACCTGCGCCAATACCGAAACATCTGCGACACGGCTACACATCTGCCATCTCTCATCTCAACTCATTCGCAAATCCCGCCTTCGTCGCTGTTGCACAAAAACTGCTGGACAGCATGCAAAACGCTAGTATTTATAGTGTTGTTTCCGTGTCCAGGCGCAGGTAGGTATGCATGGAGGCCCCCCAAACTGCTTCAATGTGCTTCAAAGTACTTCTGGAAGTTTCAAGATTCAAGATTCCCAGGACTTTTGCTCTCGAATCTTGAATCCATGAGCTACCTCGATGCAAGTGCTCAAAAAAAAATGCGCTCCCCATACTGGATTCAAGATTCAAGATCTAGAGCCCTAACAATCTCGCGCTTTAAAGCGTTTTGGGCGCCCTGGGAATCTTGAATCTGGGTGTCTAGACCCAAAAGCACTTCAAAGATCTTGAACGCGTTTTGGGTGCCCCTGCTGGGCTCCAGATTCAAGATAGCAAAATATTTGTGTGGACAGCGGCTGGAACAAGGATCCAAACTGTGCATGACCCGTGTGGAAGCAGCAAGGCCTCTTGCACTTAGAAAGCATGCAAGCGAACATCACGTTGGGGAGCGTATTCTATTAAATCACCCAAGAACTTCAGAACTTGCCTTGCGCACACAGTAGCCTACCGGATTTGCCTGAGCTGCCCTTGTTGCACACGTGCTCCCTGGCATGATCTGGAACCTGCAAAAAGTAGATGTGCATACATATCCAAATATACATCCGCGCATATACAGGCATACGAATGCAGCAGAATACGTCTAGATATACATCTGCGCAGACTCAAACATACGAATACGTGTGTTGGCTGCTTGGCCCTTCTTCCGGTGCCTCCTTCGGCTAGGCGCGCCAGCGCCGCAGCATAGCACCGCTGCGCGGCCAACGGCTCCGCCTTCGCCTCCGCCTCCGCGCCCCAGCGCCGCAGCTCCTGGCACCCGGCGCCGATCCAAGGGGAGGCAAGCGACTTGGTTGACGTTGGAAGGGGAGCCAAAATCTAAATTTTAGCAGTTATGTGGTTGGATTTCCTGCGAAAGCAAAAGTTGTTTGTTTGTTTTTTTGCAGTCAATTGGTTGGATTCCCCACTAAACCACAACCAAATTTTGGATTTTTGCAGTTAAGTGGTTGGATTTCAACCACCAAACCACAACAAGCAAAAATGTAAAATGTTTCCCAACACAACAACCATGATCAAACCCTGACATTTTGCCATGGGTCAGAATCGGGCACCCCCAGTGAACATCCCAATCCCCACTTCAATAGACTAAAATGGGTAGTGCACCTACCCCAAAATGGTACCATTGGCTTGACCTACTTGCAGTACGGGCAGCCGCACTGATAGTGGCTCAGGTGGGCCACGTTGCTCTAGCCAGGGGGAAACGCAGGCAGCTTCAGGGTTCGCTCCCAGATCTGCCCAGAGCTCCCGGGCCGGAACAAGCTGCCGAACGAAACGCTGCCCTTCGGTGCTGAAGGCCGCCAACCCGCACCCCCCCCCCCCTGGATTCTGCTCCTAGGGAAAGCCAAAAATTATTCACCCCAAAAAAAAAGAAAAAGACTTTGCTCCTAGGGAAAGCAAAAAAGGAAAGCCAAAAAATCTTCAAGCCCCCCTTCACCACATTCCGCCCTTCCCCCCTGCCCCCCGCACCAACACCCCGCGAGTCCTCCGCATGGCGCAGTCGGAGCTGCTCCCGGCACCGCGCCACCTCCATGGAAACCGCCTGAAGCAAATGGCAAGGGATGGTTTTTGAGGGTACCGTTTTTAGGTAAAGCCATTGTTCAGGGTCATGGTTATCATCTCCACCCTACAGGAAGCCATGCTTGAGAGTCATGAATAGTCATCTCCAAACAAAAGGATGCTTAGGTATGTTTTAGTTTCAGGGCTGTGGGGAATGGAATCCACTTCTGTGATACAACAGAAAGGGCCTAACCCCACAGACGAATTTGTTCATAAGGGGGATTCCCGAAGGTATCACAGAAGTGGGGAGAAACCCCTTGATCCCACAACCCAGTTTAGTTTGGTTTCAAGGGAAAGAAAAACACTTGGGATGTTGGGGGTCACTTGCCCAAATGAGTCCCCTTGCCTTAGTTGTTCAACGTGCGGGGATCCGTTGCTTTTTCTTCCCCCCCCGTAGTGTGCAAAAGAACCTGTTTGGTTGGTTGACAAACGGGAATTTGGCCCACAATATTGCATGAGGGCGAACTGGGAATCCTTCTAGTTGGGCCTGGTGTGTTTTTGGTCGCTTGCAATATTTCGGAAATCCACTGTACACATGTGGGTATGGCTCAAAATGAAAGAGCTAAGCTATAGGTAACATTTTGGGTACCCTTCTTTGAGTCAAAGCCACGTTACCACCACCCTCGACGTCATTTGTGCAAACAGGACCGTGAGTTTTCCCGGTAAGGGCAAATGGGCGCAGGAACCCTCTTGGCGCACCAAGCAGGGAACAAACCCCATAACAGTTCCGGACACCTTTCCATCTCGGGGCCAGGGGGTTTTCTCACATCAGTTGCCCCAAGAAAAACCATCTCCTTCCAGAACTCCGATCAGCTCCGAAAGTTGATCCCTCTTTAAAGGCGAGCTTGGATGCCAGCTCCGCAACGGCTCCCTTCCACCGTCTCTTTCGTCTTGACGCAGGCCGCCAGCATCGGATGCGGGCAAAAGAAGGCATGGGCAAGCAATGAGACAACCAAGCGGCAACATCCTTGTACACACAAAGGCACCGAGCATGGAGGAAAACGGCGAGTGCAAAGATTGCCGCCGGGTGTTGTTATTTTTCTTTTTTTCTCCTAGATTTGTTCAGCAGTCACCATGTTTCCCACCCAAACATTGCGCCAATTAGAGGAAGCACCCTTTGAATGGCCAGATCCTTCCGAAAATGGACTCCGACTTGTCCGCCAGTTGACGGAGCAACTCAAATCCACAAAGGCGGCAAAAACGGCCACCGACGTCCAGCCTGGCGACGTTCAGGCCCCCCCCCCTTCACTCCGCCTCGTCGCCGGCCGCAAGGGCGGCCGCCTCCTTGGCGGAGTCCTGGGCAGCTCCAGGGAGGGAGGGGGGGGAGGGGCCGGGGGGGAGGGGTATGATGGACACTGAGGGTCGGTGGTGCCACCTTCGTTTGGAACTTGGGGGGTATGGGTTTTTTTTCGATGTCTTCCGAGTTTCTTGGCTGCAACATAGACTCCAGGTGTCCATGGCACTTTCTGCTTGGCTTCAGTTTCCTCCAGGTCGATCGTTGCCTCCTCTGGTCATTTCGCGCTGGCAGGTTCCAAGATGTCCGCCGCTCTGCTCCAAGGAAAGGTTGGGGCGAGACGAGCGAAGTTTCACGAACCATGGCTCGTGGCCTGCCTGCCATGCAGCCATGCAGCTATGCAGCATTATGCAGCTATGCAGCTAGCGCCATGGCGCTTCTGATTCATGCCTAAGGGTGGATGAATCGAGCACCCTCGATCGTCCAGACGCCACTCGTCTTGTTCGCGAGCGACTTTGGCTGCTAGTCTTTACATTTGTTTCCCCTGCTTGCTTGCAGGCCAGGTGTCGGTGCAGACCTGCATGGATCAATGAAAGCAGCGGCAAACCACAACACCTCTTCCATGCAGGCATTCGTAACTTTCGAGTCGGTCGGCCGCGGAATTCCAATTCAAAAGGAAGGAAGGAAGGACTTGACTAGGCTGGAACTAGGACCCCAGCAAAAAAAATAAGTTTGCCCTGGCTAGTGGAAAACAAAGGGACCCCCCTTTGTAAAAGCAAAAAACAAAAAGGGGAAGTAATTCTGGGCAACTTGAGAGCAGCAACTTGTTGCTGGGCGGAAGCAGACCCCCTGTCAAGCTCGGCAATTCAAGGGGCTGGAGAATTGAAAAGCCTCTCATGGGCGCAAATCAACTCACCTTGCCGGACGGCATCCCGGTACCAAGTCCGAGGCTCCAGGGATGACTCGCAGGCGTCCCAGTTTGACCTCTCCAGACAGGTCCAGGCTTCCTTGAGCAGAGACCGCGCGATGTTCCTTGGCCAACGGCTGGAGCTTGGAGCTTCACTTGGGCCCCAGAGATGGAAGCGAGGGCATGTCAAGATCATCCAGATACACCTCCCCACTTGGCGACTGGAAAGCTTAAAACTGGAACAGCATCTGCTCGCGTTAGGAAATATAGGAAATCTGAACGCGCTATACCGCGGTATACATGACGCGCTCACACAAGGCAGGCATAGTCGTACCTCAGGATGTTGCCTGATGTACTTTGCGGGCAGGTCGCACAGGGCACTGCCTTAGAAGTTGGCAGACTTCCGTCTTCATGTCCTCCGACTCCTGTCGCACAATCCCCGAGTCACGGAAAATGGAGAGAGGCGGGGGGGAATAGGGCATCCCCTCAACATGGAAGCCTGAGGGTCCAGGTCACCCGCACTTCCACAATCCACAGGGCCCAGCCGCACAACTCGGCGAGGCCCTCCCCCGGCGCAGTCCTCGTGCTCCAAGTGACCCAGGCACTCGCTCAAGTGCTCCTGCGCCGCGTGCCAATCCTGCAGCTCGCGGCTCGCGGCGCGGCCCACAAGCAATCCGGCCGAAAGGAACCTGTGGTCAAACATCCAAACCCAACCTTCTCCAACCCTATCGACACCCAGATTTGCAAGCTACGTCAAGCTGCTTAACCTTCAAAATAGGGCTGCCCGGCAGCCTCACTTCAGCTTTGACACCAAGATTTGCCCTTGACTGCCGCGCCGTATGTCTTTGGGCGGCCACAGGCGCACCACCAAAGTCATCCAGTTTGAACGACACCGCAAGCAGAGCCTGCTTCTTGGTCGCTCTGGTGTTGAGAAGTAAGGTGGGTCGTTTTGGCAGGCCACTGTTGGCTTTGCTGGTTGCCCTTTTTGTGATTGGCTTCACTAGGTCCATCAATTCACAAGTACATCACAACCACCCCTCAAACTGTCACTTGTAATAGGTCGATGAAATCAAAGTGACATCACAACTGATCCAGCCCAAAATGGGACCCTGGTAGCAGGAACCTAGGATGCGTTTTTTTTGGTGGTTTCATTTTGACCCATACCATTTGGCGAAGCCTCAAAACGGCCACCGTTGAACCCACCAGCGCGCTCCCGCCTCTGCCCGGGCCGCCTGGTCGCCAAGCCGCCGGGCGCGGTCCGCCCTCCGCTGCGGCAAGCACGCCAGGCGGCCGCGGAGCGAAACGCCCAGGGAACGCCTCAGGCGCAGCGGACGGAAGGACTTGGGCGTGGCTTTGTTCGAGGGGTGGCACCACACCTTGGCGGCAAAAAGAGACACCAACTGGGAAAAGCCACGCCTTTGGAGGAGGAAAACGACATGCCCATTTCTTAGGGGAAGCCGAGGGTTCTTTGCAGAAGAAAACTGGTGTTTTGCTTGTGGGTGGTGTTCCCTGGTTGCTGGAGTTGTTGATGTTGTTCTCAAAGCTGCCAATTCCCTGGTGGTTTTCCCGGATGTTGGAGTTGTTGCCAGAATTGCCGTGGTTGAAAGAAACATGATCTTCAGATATTGCCGGATGGGATTCCGTTCAACCATCGCTCTTTTCAAAACCTCCTCCATCATTGAAACACAGTGGACCATCTACCATCATACCAGAGACGCACCCTTGCTTCACAACGGCGTTAAGGCACGCATCTTCGGACTGGTCCAGGAGGTGGTCCAAATCCTCCTTGGATGAGCCAGGAATCAGACGAAGCCTGGCTACACCCTCTTTGAAACAGCCGCCCCGAAGGGTACCCTCAAAAAAGACACGCCCGTGCGCAGCAAGACGGCTGGGTTTGTCAGTTGGCAGCCCAGCCAGACAGGTAGATGTCATCATTGCTCACACAAGGCAGGATGGAGTTGCATGAGTGCAGTGTTCAAATCACCCGGCCCTGCCCCGGGCCGAATTTCGCTGAATGACTCAAAGAAAACAAAGCGCAGCTGTAGCCCTATCGAACCCAAAAACTGAATCCAGGGCTCTTTGCGCCAACCATCAAACCTGGCAGGAAGCACAGAGAGAGGGCCGCAGTACTCTTGAACGCGTAATACCCCCTCAGCCCAACATGGAAGCTCCCAGAAGGCCTCTGCAAATAGAACCAAGTCTTTCCAAGGGGTCTGGGAGCTTTCACGTTTGGGGGAGGCTACACTTCGAAGGTCCTGGCGCTCGTAACCAAAGCGTGTCATTCGGCCCAGGTGCCAGGCAACTGTCCCAAAGATCTTCGGCCAAATCCAGCTGGTCATCGTCCAGCTCCTTGCAAGAGACGGACGAGGTTCACATGTCGAATCTTGGGTTTGGTTACAGGAAAATCTACGGGAAATGGCCCCAAAACACCGTAAATAAGCTGGTTTCCTGTAGAACTTCCCGTAACCCAACCCTTGGACATGTGATTTTTGGGCAGCTTTCCAATGTTTTGACCTCGCCAGCCCCATCAAACGTCAGAGGCTTGACATTCATCAATCGCAGCTGAAGCCAAATCGCCCGGATCCTGCAACGGTAAATCTTCCCAGCGATAGTGACTAAAAAGGACTTCACGCCGCCTGAACTCTTGGTTGCTGCAACGACCCGCAAAAAGTGAATCACTGTTTGGGGCTTTAGTACGGAAAACCCAGCTTGATCTCCCCAAAAGTTAAAGTCTAAAGATCCGTTGCCCAATAGTCAAGAACTCAGAGGGGTTTCCATCGTGGCCCGTTCTTCTTGCGGGTTCCGGTGCGCCGCCATCGGGACCCGGTGCATCCTCGGCTGTTGCCATGCGCCGGCGGATCTCGGCCAAGGTCGCCGACGTGATGTCGGCGGCCTGCGGGAGGTCAATACGGCCGTGGCAGAATTGGGAAGAGACAGAATTGCTATGAAGGGCTTGAGGGAAATTCTCAGAGGCGCGCCATTTGCGAAAGGTCTTGCAAAAAGTTTTGCCACCTTTTCGAGGGAATCGGGCGCCAGGTAATGAATTTGAAGGGTGACCCAGGTTGAAAAGAAACGAATCCTTCTCTTCTGTTGGGTGGGGGGGGAGAAGCCAAGCCCTCCCCCCCGGCACCTGCTGCAGCTCTGGGGCGGGTTCTTTGCCCCAGCCCGGCACCGCGCGCCAGGGCCCAAGCAGCTCCGGAGCGACGTAGAGCGCATGGCCACCCAGCCCCAGCACCCAGCCTCCCGAGCTCTGAGGTTGTTTTTTTGTTGGATTACACCCTTGAAGGAAACATATCTTGCTTATGGGGATCCTCTGATGAAGGTCCTCAATATGAATCCAAAGATTTTGAGGAGCTCTGAGGGTTTTTTGGATTACACCCTGGGTCTCTCTGGGTCACAAGTCCTGCACTTCACGGAGTTGCACAGCGTCAGGGTGGTGCCCGGACCTCGTTTTTGCATTAAGGATTATACCCTTGGGAAATGACCCATGATTCAAAATTTGCCACCATTTTATCCGGAAATGTACGCCTAAAAAAGGTCAATACCTAGCGGGCGTATTCCCAGGGGGTTAAAAAATAAGCTCAGGCGATGTCCCCAACAGCACCACACCCTCCCAGAATCCTCGCGGAACCCTCCCTGGGACCCACCTCACCGCCGGTTTTGCTCAGGATTCCGCCTTGTAACTTATAAAGCAAAGCTAAGAATGACACCGCAATCGCATTGGGGCCCGACGGTGCAATCGGGGCCGGGGCCCGATGGTCCCGTGGTGCAAAGGTTTTCCTTAGGATGCAGCCTTCAACTGCAGCAAAGCGACGCGATGCCAGCTTGGCACAGTTGACGGGCCCGACTCCCCGATCGGGGCCCGACGGCGCAATCGGGGCCCGATCGGGCCCCGACTGTGCAATCGGGCCCGACCTGGGCCCGGCGAACCTCGCAAACCGTCCGTGTGGAAATCTCGGAACTCAGCGTGAGACTTTGTTGGAACCTTTCCTCAGGGCTACCCCGTAGCTTTTGCAGCACCTGGTAGAAACCTCGTGGAGCGTTTTGGGAACCTTACCCCATAGCCCTCGCAGCCTCGTGGAACGCTTGGAACCCAAAGCCCACCAAGTGCTGCACGGTGAGCAACGTGAGCAAGTCAAAACAGTGAAAGTGTGCTGAAAACCATTGATTTCGGTTTTGCTTAGTGTTCCGCCCATGAGCAAATTGTTCTGAGCTCTCAATTTACTGCCCCGATGGCTTCTCAGACGGCAGTCACACGACACATTACTTCCCTCCAGGCAAACCACGAGACCTTGCAGATCATTTGTGCAACCCTTGTGGAGCCTTGTGGAACCCTTGTAGAACCCTTGTGGAACTCTGTCGAACCCACCCCAGACCATCCCGCAGCCCTCGCAGAACCTCGTGGAACCCTGGTGGAACCCTGGTGGAACCCTGGTAAAACCTCATGCAACCTTACCTCAAACCACCCCGGACCACCCCGCAGGTTCTGGTGGAACCCTGGTGAAACCCTGATAGAACCTTACCTCAAACCACCCCGCACCACCCCACAGCCCTTGCTGGTGGAACCCTGATACAACTCTCATGGAACCTTACCTCGCAGAACCCTGATTAGTGGAACCTGGGTGGAACCCTGGTGGAACCCTCGTGGAACCTTACCTCAAACCACCCCGGACCACCCCGCAGCCCTCGCAGAACCTCTGGTGGAACCCTGGTGGAACCCCCGTGGAACCTTACCTCAGCGCCGCCCCGGACCACCCCAGAGCCTATCTGGGCTGAGACTTCCATTTCTCCTTCCCCTATGGAACCAGCAAGTCTCACGCCTTGAAACCAGCTGTGTGTTTGATCCCACTCCGTGGATCCCTAGGTACCCTGTTTGACAAGAAGCAATCATGGATGTGGACAATGTCTGGCTTAGAAAGGGGCTACGTTCAACAGAAAGACACACCCATATGGGAAGTTGAACGCACTATGGAAGCCTCCAAACAAAGCAGATCTTGACTATCCTCCGATAAAGTCTGCCTTCCACCCCACCAGAACAGAAATTACTTACATTGTACACCGGAACATAGCCTTGTAAATGGTGGTCTCCCCTTCCTTTGGTGGAGAAAATGGCCATGTTTCAAACGGTTACAACATGAATTTCATTTATTCGGAGCCCTGCAACACCGCCCTCAAACCCCGCGCCCGGCCACAGCGCCCTTTCGCGCGCGCCTGCGAAGGCCTCATCGACCTCGCGGCTCACCACAAAGCCCCCGGCGCTGGCGTAGAGGACCTCGCCCTGGTGCTGCCCGGCGGCGGCGTAGACCCCGTCTGCCTGCGCGCTTTTCGGGGAGGGGGGAGGGGGTGGGAACGGCCATCCGCGACCAGTGGACATGCTGACCGGGGCCAAGTATTCCAGATCTTGAGCCGCCAACCACATCTGGAGTTGGGAATCGCGTGAATTCCTGGGAAAGGGCGAGTCCGAGGGGAACGGAAAATGCCGAGCCCGGGCGCCGCTTCCCAGCCGGCGCCGCGTACCAGGAGCGAAGCCATGACGCGCCATGCCCAAAGCCGGGAGATCAGAGGAAGCTGGGTTCGGTGCTGCGAAGGGTTCGCTTATGGCAAAAGATCCTGGCAAAGCAGCGAGCAACGGGCGGAATGTCAACTCGTGCAAACCATGTTTGGGACTTTGAAGGCCAGGTGGAAAGTAGGATGCCGAGCAACAATGAGCAGAGCAGACAAGGAAACCGGATGAAACGATTGTGACGCAATTCTGCTAGGTTCAAAACGTCGCAACATGTCGCAACGTGTCATGCCTTGTCATACATCCTGGTATGAGCCAAGCTGCAGGCGTGTCCCGAGCATTGCCGACTCACCATCACTAGTCTCTTTTATTTGGTTCGTCGGGATGGCACGAACATTCCCTGGCTTGGGGAGCCTGTGCAGCGAGCAATTGGACCGGAGGTCAAAATGGATGAGCAAATGCCAACCGCGCAAAAAGCGCAAACCCTGGCTGACCCTGATGAGAACTGGGTTGGTCCTTGGACCAGCCGTGCTGACAGCGAATGACGGGTTGGCTTGTAGGCTTGCCCCGCATTCCGATCTCTGGAAGGATCCGTACATGCTCACAAAATACCCTTGACAACGGTCAATAGCACAAGAACCCACATATACAAATCAAGAGATGGCCAGGCATATAACCAGAAAGCCACCCCATGGCCGCGCCATATGGCCCTCTCTGCCCAAAATCTTCGCTAACCCGCTCTTCAAAAGCTGAATCGCTCACAAAAGAACGATTCCAACACGAGACAAATCGGAATCGGAGACTCTTTGCAAAACCAAGGAATTCCAATCAAACAAATCGAAATCGGAGACTCTTTCCAAGGGCCAGCCGTCCTTCTGCCCCTTCCCCTTGCCATCCACAAACTCCCCCGGCCGGCCGTCGCCTGGATGTCGTTGTTCTCTTGGAAGGGGACCTCAATCCAAGAGGAATTCATCCGAGAGACCGTGCATCGAGGGCGCGCCCGGTCACCGGCTGAAGTCACTTGGCACCCTTTTCCAGTCCTCTCTTGTGCTCACCTGCCGTGTCGGGCTCCCAAAGTGTACCCATCTGCTCCGTCTGTGCGTTTTTCAGGGTGACCAGCAACCACTGGTCAGAAGATGTGATGCCGTTCCTCTGGGGCGGAGGTCTCAAAACTTAATTGAAAAAAAAGGAAGCGGTGCAGCAGGGACAACGCTCAGACCGTTTGTGGGACAGTGCGTGGGTAAACTGGAAAGTGGCAAGTTTGATTAGACAGCTGGTGCCAAAAGTGCGTCTGCCTTGAACTTGTTGATGTGTTTGCCCGTCGTGGGGCTTGTGGCAAGGAGGGCCCAGCCAGGTCAGCGTTGCCAGGCGCACCTGGAGAAACACCAGGGGCCCGGGCGCAAAGCATGGCCAGCACTGCCCGCGAGGCAAGAAGCTCCAGCCTCAGCCGGGCCATCCACTGCAAAAGTCGCATCCTGGTTTGGCAACTGTTCAGCCCAAGCCCGCATGGAGCCAAGGTCTTTGCAGAACTTGAAAAGGGCTGCCCGCTGTCCCTCGCAAGCTTGGATGTTGAACACTGCTCTGATACGTGTAGCACGTGTTGAATCAAATAGCCGAATGCGAGTATCCAAGACCAAAATCATGCAAACGGTCCAAACGGAACCGCTCAACCTTCCATGCGTGAATGTGTGCCCGCCAGGCCCTCCCCTCCCCGTAAACGTGCGGTGCGCCAATGTCCTTGCTCCCCTGCTTTGCTGTGCAAGCCCAAAGGCTATGGAAGACACATATTCGGCTGATGTGTTAGGCTTGCCTTGGCTGCTGTCCTTGGGATGCATCTTGGGTGTGGGGACCTCACCCTCCGAAAGCAAAAGCGCTGTGTAGATTTGCATGTAAGCCATGTCAGGGCCATATCTCTATTTCTAATAGTGGTTGTATACGACCCTTACCAGAATCGTATAACTTACCGTATAACCCTTTTGGATTCTTGGGGAGGGGGGTATGAAGACCACCAATCCCTGCAGGGTCATTCACAAGTGGTACATAGTCATACGTACCAACACCTCACAATGTCAGCTCTGCTCCCTTGCCGCCCCTCCCCTTCCCCCAAACGTCCTTCCCCGCATGAGTGCCCGGGCTCGCTTCGAGGCATGTTCTGCTTGGCGCCCTGCGGGGGGGACCGAGATCCGCGATCCGCGCAGGATCGAATCATAAGGTGCGCCCTCAACAGGAGAAGAAAAAAAACGCCTCGAAGCGTAGCCATACTCACGGTCGCCCATTCAAGGGCACCACCAAATATGGCGGTGAGTGGAGGGCGCCAAAAGCTACGCAATGTGCGCATTGTGCGGGGCTTCCTTTTCTTCCACTGGCACCAGTTGCGCCACTGTGACGCACGGGACATGGACCCGGCGTTCACCCACCTTTAAAGGAAGTTGGGGGAAAGAAGCAGGTCACATCAACGCCAAGGACGCCTTACGCTGTTCGGTTCAAACCCGTCGTTACCCTGTCAATCATGGAAGTGGACGGGGTCCTGGGGATTCCAAGATACCAGGGTCCCAACCGCATGCCCCAGAAAAAACTGTGAGCTGTCTTCCTTCCGCAGGTCACTACTGGTTGTGCCAGGAGCCCAAATGTCTCGTGAGGCTAAAAGACTTGGAATTTGGGAGCCGGAGAACCATGGATCGCAGGGCACACGTATTCGGAAACTTGGTCGAGCCTCTCGGCTTGAACAACCACTGACTAGAAAGGCTGTGCGAGTACAACCTCGAGAAATCCAAAGAAAGCTTTGCATCTGGGTATTAATCGGGCACCCTGTGTTGGACATCATACAAATGGGAAATGTATGTCCTGCCACCTTTGAGGGGCTTCGCTGCTAAACCACATAGCCGTCTCCTTGGGCTCCTGACACTTTAATGTCATAGTGCAGGCTTCTGGCACCAACTACAGAAAGAGGCGACCCAGCACCAGTTGCTCTAATGAAGGCCTCGTGAGAGGGCTTCGACAATGCTGAAACAAGTGCAATACAGAGAGAAAGAGAAAGAAAGAGAAAGAAAGGGAGAGAGAGAGAGAGAGAGAGAGAAAGAGAGCGAGAGAGAGAGGGAGAGGGAGAGAGAGGGGGAGAGAGGGAAGAGAAGGAGCAGGAGATCCTAAGCATCATGCGCATGGTTCATGTTTGCATAGGGCATTGCAAATGGCAGCTTGCGGTCATTCCAAGCATGACAATGGCCCATACTAATGCATTTGCAAATGAAAGACGAGATGATCACTGCACATCCCTTGATATCATATCTCTGTGTCTGTGTTGTCTGAATCCTGCCAAACTACGCATCTCTCACAAGCCAAGCTCCACCCAAACATACTAAGCAGGTAGGCAACTTGTCAGCACCTCGTGAAGCAAGCTCGTCCGGCTGGCAAATGGATCACAAATTCATAGAATGAGAACGAAAAACAAAGGAGTAAGTCAATATGTGTGTGTGTGTGTGTGTGTTTGTGTGTGCTTGTGTGTGCTTGTGTGTGCTTGTGTGTGCTTGTGTGTACTTGTGTGTGCTTGTGTGTGCTTGTGCGCTTGTGTGTGCTTGTGTGTGTGTGTGCTTCTCTGCGTCTCTGTGTGTGTGTGTGTCACGTAGTGCCCCGAAAACTCCTCCAATACCAACCACCCATCTCCCAACAAAAGGTGCTTGTTGGGCAACAAGTGCCTGGGTCATCTTGGTGCATCTGGCCGCCGCCAGACAAGCTCCAGGGCCAACTGCTGTTTCAGCGAGTTGGCCACTGCCCCTACCTTTGCAATGCAACGTGGCCATTGGCCCAACGCTCTTCGCATGGTTTCGCAAAACAGAACCCGCGCATGGTGAAACTTGCAAACTTGCCCGAGCCGGACCAAACCGAGCAGCCCCTTGCGTCGACCACTAGGTGGGTCGCCCACTGGGTGGTTGCCACGGAAGGATCTCGTCTCAACTTTCCTGGGGCGTTGCAAATCAAGCACAGCCCCCAGGTGTCTGGCCCGCCCGCAGTCAGCAGCTGGTGGGGCACGAAAAATATTAAAATGGTCCGCAGAGCGCCAGGTGCGGCCTGAGCGAACCAGCACATGGAGCCTGGAAGGGACCCCTTTGCAACCCACGGTGCCAAGAGAACATGTTGACTTCGGCCGGCCAAGAAATTAAGTGAACCACGCAAACCCAGTACTTTGGCAAGAACGGTGAAAGCAAACAAAAAGTCTCTCAGAGCCCAAGTGGGCGCCTGGCAAGTGCCTGCGCCAACGCAGTCAGAATGCCAAGCAGTTTGGGGTCAAACGTCGCGGTTCAAGAAGCACGGCAGAAGGCATGAAAGCAGCCAATAGTGACATTCCATTTTGACACACATGTGGAACACATGCGGGCCCAGAGGATCTCTGAAGGTCGAAAAATGGGCTCTACTTGCAGAGGACATCCAGCTCAGGGAAAATAGGGATACACACTTACCATACACATGTTTCCATGTGTACATATATTAATATGTGTGTGTGGGACCAATGAGTGAGCGTGTGTGCGTTGTTGTGCGTGTGTTTACGCACATTAATTCGTATGTGTGTACGTGTGCATGTATAGTCTGCATAGTATATAGCCACGCACGCTCCTAGCTACACGTCGACATTTCTTTGGACTTAATGGCCGAAAAGATACTCACGCAAGCCTTAGCAACGCAAGGATCCGCCAACGAAGCGTTTGATCATGTTTGGGCATGTCATCATGGCTAAGCAAGCAACCAGCATTTCCTGGCCTGACTTGACATCACAACGGCTGCAAGAGGCCCCTCCCACCCGAGGCACTCTACGCCATCGGAACGGAGCTCAAGCAGACCGACCGCCTCGGGGCAACGACGCACGACTCGGATGTCAGTCAATCCAGCCCACCTTAAAACCTTGAGGGCGGGAAAGAGAAAGAGGGAGGGGCAAGAGGCGGGGTTGATGCCAACGAAGGAAGGTCCTGCCAAGGACAGATCTTGTGGCTGAACCAAGCCCAGTAGACGGCAGTTTTGCATGCCGTGAAGCATCCGCGGAACTTGAAAGTTGGGAAAATGGGGTGGTCTCACCCTCACAGGAGACGACCGGGCAACCAAATGGCTCTGTGTTACCCTCGTGCCGGCTGAGCACCCTGCGGAAGAGCCCCCAAAGGCTGCTTGGCTGATGCTGCCTGGACTTCAGCGCTGTGTTCACCTGCCAGGCAAGCAAATGCTTTTTGCTTTTCCCATGCATCACATCAGGGCACAGCGATTAGAGCAACAAGACGCGGCTCAACCATGCGGCCGAGCAAGGAAGGCTGTAACAGACCCCCTCTCCACTCCCACCTCCTCCGCCACTCTACGGACGGTCATGTCCTTGTCCTTCAGGCAATGGCCGCTGCCACTCTCGAAAAAGTCATGCTTGCTCTGTCGCTGGTTGAAACTCATGATGCCTCAAGTCATTCACTTGCTCTACCCCGCAGTTGATTCAGCCTGATTGCTGGCAGATTCTGGGTCGATGCCCTTGGGTTTGGCCATGGCACCCCAATGGTGCGGCAAGCCGCTAGATGTCCAGAATGTTTCAACCAATGGCACCGCAACCTACGGCGCCAAGCTGGGCAACCCCAGTCCTGCGAGGCCGCATTGGCGACCAGCCGCAAGGCTCGGTTGTCTGCCACCACCACCTTGGATGGGGCGCCGGCCACCGGCCGGCTTGCACTCACTTGGGCGTGGCTCAAAGAGCTAGGCTTGCGCAGAGATTTTGGTCTTTCACTTAACCAAAATGTACCTTCCTTGGTGCCTTCCGTTGAGCGCTTGCCGTCAGGCCGCCAGCTGCTCCAGGGTCTGCAGCGCCTGGCGCCGCACGCTGGGGGACTTGTCCTGCAGGGACGGAGGGAGGTGCGCGAAGTCAGCGGGATTCAGCGGGCTGGCCGGCCACTGCGGACCAGCAAACGTCGCCAACAGATGGACCGAGATCGGCGGCCCTAGCGTCAAGCACAGGGAAGCCCTGGCCTGTTGATTTGTCAGGGGGGGGCACTTGCGTAACGGGAACACAGCTGGGGATCCCCCAAAATTCTGTCAAGGTGTGCGCATCGGGGTTAAAGTGGGGAAGTGACGGGGCTTGCCGCCAAGAGTGGCATTCCATCTCATTTCCTGCCATTGGCAGGAACCAAAGCCCTGAGTTCCCGAGCCAAAATTGCCCGGCTGCTGCAAGCTTCCGCTGTGCCACTGGCTTCATCTGTCGTGTGCTGGGAATGCTGGATGGGGATTGAATGTGGACAGTGAATCGGGGATGTTATGGGGATGCGTGCCGGCCACTGCCGAAGACTTCTTAGAATCAGCCCGGAGCCAGCACCCTGACTGGAAAAACAAACCCGCAAGCAACGCCCAGCCGAAGCCAAGACCCAACCTCATCGCTAAGCCTGCCCCAAGCAGCAAAACCTCTCATCCCGGGAACCGCTTGTTGTCCGGGCACGCAAATACATTGAATCCTCCTGGCCCCATGAGTTTGCTATCAGCATGCTACGAGACAGTTTGAGCGAAAGGAATGTCAAGCAGGGCCTCCGGTCGGCAGGATCCTTGCCTCTCATTGGTGGTTTGAGACAAGATCTATGGCAGGTTGTTGCTGCAAGGGCACGTTTGCCACTATGCAAATGTTGTCCCCCTTTGAGGCTGGCCCAGGTAAGTTTCACGTTTTGCGGACTTTTGTCATTTCTGTAAGATGTGCAAGATATGTTTCCAGCTCGACTTGAGCGTTGGCCAAGTGTTGGATTTTTATCCTTGGTGCATTCCAAATCGGGCTGGCTTTCCGCATGCACACGGTGTTTCTGGAGGTATGTACCTTGTGTAACCTAGGCTGGAATTAGGACCCCAGCAAAAAAAAAATTGTTTGCCTGGTTACTGGAAAACCAAAGGGGACCCCAAAAAAGCAAAAATGGAAAAAGGGGAGCTAATTCTGGGGAAGTAACAAGCAGGTTGTTTTCACCGTGCCCCATTTAGAGCAAAACGCAAACTCTGCATCCATCCCACTCCTCCAGGGCGCGCTGAGTCATCGCAAGCGCCGCTTTGTCCCCCACCTCCGCCAGCTGAGTCATCCTCGGGCCAGTTACTCTTGGCATTTGGATGCGCCAAGTCTCAGCTATCACGCCGATCACGAAAGAAGAACGGGCGAACGTCTCTTCAGGAAACATGTAAGGTAGCATCCTGGCAAGGAAGCTAGTCCTCAGGGGGTTTTGGGAGCTTTCAGATTGGCTACAAGTGTGACTCAAAAGGGCCAGTGAAAACAACTGCGCCTATCTTGAAGCCAAATGGCCGCCTGAGTATCTCCAACACCCCCCCCCCCGGGGCACTCCCACGGGCACCCGCGCCCCTGCAACACGGCCGCGCGCACGTCCACATCAGAGTCCGACGCCCTGGCACTTGCCGTTCTGCTGGCCGCTGGCCTTTCCCCCTTTCCCAGGAAGATGGAAGTGAACCTGTCCGAAGAAACGACTGGGATCTTGAATTGGTGATGTGCAGCTCTCCATGGTTCTCATCAGCCTTCTATTTCTGCACTGAAAATATAGAGGGTAATCAGCAATCGAAACTGCGCACCTTTGACACCCAATGCCAAGCCATCAACACAGGGGCTGCATCTGCTTCGAGGACCCACAAAATGGTGGCTGTCCTTTTGGTTTTCCTTTAAGACAACCCCGCCAAAAAAAAGTGCCCAAGTACCCTCAAAAAAGAGGCAAGCACCCAACACTCGCCCAACCGCTGGTGACAGGCCTGTCCATAACCTTGTGCAGCATCGCCTTGGAAAAGGCCGTGCGTTCAGCGCAGATGAAAAGCATAGGAGGCGAACGGAAAAAGAAAAGAGCTGAGCAAAGGAAAAGACCAAAAAGCAAAGGAGAAAAAGCAAAACAGAGATTGAAAGACCTGATGAGACGTGTGCGGTTATGAGACGTGCGGTTATGAGACGTGCGGTTATGAGACGTGTGCGGTTGGTATTGTCTCAGCTCGGACTCCCAGACTCTCCGCTTTCGGGATCCACATTCACCGGTCTGTCCTTGATTAGTTTTCTGCCGGGTTCCCAAGATGGTAATGTTGACCCCGGATGAATACACCCTTGGGTGTTCCCCCCAAAAGTGATATAAATCTCCCACTAATTAAATCCAGGGACACACCCAGAATAAGAAACAGGGGTTTACTAATCCGGGGTCAACATTAAAAGGATCTCTCTCCTCACACATGAGACAACCCCTATGAATCAAGCGGATTTGATGCGAGCCCTCCAACTTCCCAAAATAGGGCCAAACCCACCCCACCCGAGGTCCCCACGAGCCGTCTCTCCGGCGTGCCGGGCGCCGACCTCAAAGCAGCGGCAAAGGGATTGCCCATCTCTGCCCTTTGGGTTTCAGTTTCTTCCATGTGTTCAGCATATATATATATATATATATATTTTAAATACTGGTGGTTTGAAAGGGCCAAAAAACAGTTTCAAGGCGAAACCGCGCTCGAACCCAGCTTACATCAACTTACCCACAGCCATGGAAGCAAGCACGTTGTTGTTGCTGCTTGCCTCCCGTCCCCCACACATCAGGCATATTTCCGGAGCCTAGCGGCTAGCACTTCGGTTGCCCGTCTTACTTTGAGCTGACTTTTGCCAGCCATCCTTTTCGAGGAAGCTACGACGCTTCGCGAGAGCCATATTGAGCCTGACACTTGGAAACAAACCAGAACCCGTGCTCCCAATAGAGAACAAACACATCCATGTCCTCATTTGGCTGTGGGTCAAAATTAAACCGCCAGGGGACTGCAGGTTTTAGTCCTTGGTTCCACTTACCAGGCTTCCATTTTGGGTACCTATTTTCGACCCACAGCCATTTGTCCATCAGCTTTAGGAGAAAGGCAACATCCAAGCCCATGGTTGCCGGACTCCCATCCCCACCATTTTACAACCGAAATGCTTTCCGCCCATGGCCCTTGTTGGGGTTGCCCCATTTTTGACAAGCACGCCCACATTGATTGGTACATTACTCTGATTCAACCGGCGACAAGTTCCCCCAGTAGAACACCTTGGGTGACCTCGGTTTGCCTGAAGCCAAATAATGTTGACCCCAGACTGATACTAATCAACCCCATCTTGCTAGGGGGGTGTTCCCCTCCAAAGGCGGTCTGCCGATGAATTACGAAAAAGGGTTGATTTCTTGAAACCCATGCCTAGGACACCACGCCGGACCCGGGGGTCCTTTCCACGCCGCCAACGGCCCCCAGGCTGACGGCCCTAGCCGCCAAGCGCCAGACGGCGCCTTTTTGGGCCCCCGGCAGCTTGGCCGTGCAGTGCAGCGCCGCGCGGCGCACCGAGGGCGCCGGGGCGTCCAGACGCGCCTCCGCGGCCTCGCGTCGACCGGGTACTGACCAAGGGGACCAGAGAAAAGAAGGCACCGGGAGGGAGGGGGGGGGGATAGGGCAGGGGGGGGGAATGGGGGGAAATGTGGGGGAATGGGGGGAGAAGGGGGGGAGAAGGAGAAGGGGAAGGGGGGATGTGGCACAAATGTGCGCAGAAGGGTTGGAAGCTTAGAACACCTGAAGGGATTCCTAAAGCGGGGGCTGGGAAAAGGCCACCCACGGGGTGAAGAGCAGTCAGCCTACAACACACCTTTGTCCAGTCGCGCTCTCGAACCCCTAGATAATGGCAATGCCTTTAATGCTCACCATGAACTGGCTCAATGTTGCCCTCCTTTGTGTGACGCGGGCAAAAATTTAACACAGCTCCCCAAATCCAAGAACAAGTTGATGATGAACCAATGACTGGACTGCATGGGCGATTGCGCAGTACCTCCCAATGCCCTGCAAAGAACCCTGGTTGACCAAGAACTGGAGGGACAGCACTCTGGCAGTACTTTGGATCTGGCCGTCACCGGCTGTCCACAGGACTAAATCATGCCACGGCGTCCGGGGGAGCACATGCTCCCCCAGATTTGGTGGCACGGTCTTGCAGCCTTAGGCTGCGGACACTTGTCAGCCACGTGCCAAAAGATAAAGCCTGGCCTGCGTCGGCTCTTTTGGCCAGTGTTCAACAGCAACTCTGCCTCTTTCGAACAAGGGCGGACGCCATGGCCGGTCTCAAGAGGTTGCGGTTTGAAACTGTGAACTCCGCAACATGGGGCTGCTGCTGTACATGGAGCGCCGCAACCATTCTACTCGCGGCTCCACGCTAAATGACCGGAAGCCCAAAGCCCAGGACGCCATGTGTCCTCAGGGCTGCGAAGGAACATGTTGCCAACCCAGAAAAACCCAGCGAGCGAGTGAGACAAGATCATGTTCCCCGTCTGAGTCGAAATTTGCCTCTATTTTCAAAATTTCCGCAAGCAGTTGTAAGCAAAAGTTGAACCCCGCGTCTGACAAACTTGCTTGTGGGGCACCACTGCCCCTGCCTTCCAGCCATAGCCTCCCTCTCGTATTCTGCAACGACGGGCCCATCTCACATTTGGGAGGATCGAGATGGCATTGACGAACAGCAATTAAATTCTGCAGCCACCCCCCTCCCGATTTTGCACAAGGTCCTCACACGTCCAGAAGTCGCTCATAGTGAGCTCCAGACGTGTTCGGCACGCGCCGCATCTCCACAACCAAGACCTCGGAGACCGTACTCGCGATTGGGAACATCTTTGGCTATGCAGGAGGTTGCGCCTTGCCTTCAAAATGTCGACCCCTCCCCGAAAATTAATTCGGATTCTCCTGGGAAACCTCCCTGTCAACCAGGAGCCGTTCTTCAAGGAATCTCTTGTAGCTCCTGGCTATTCTTGGCTCCTGAGCCACAGTTGACGAGTGGCCACTCAACTCACACAACCCCCGTCTTTTGGATTCCGTCTTGAGCGAGTTTCCATCAGAAGCTCAGGCGAGTCAATCATCAATCAAAACCGATCGGTACTAAAATGGTCTACCCAGAACCATGTACAGGATTTAGAAGGCGGATATATCCGCAGCTATTTATGGCAAGGAAATCGTCCCTTACTAACCGGATCATCTACCCGAATCGGTTTTGAGCACGTGGCTCAGAAGCTCTCCGAGCAACGGGGGGGGAAAGAACTGAGTCCAAAGGATCTGGATGAGAGCCGAGGCCGAGGGGCGCCCGTGAGCGCCAGGGAAAAAGCTGCCGCCAGTGGCAACATGGAATGCACCTGGCAAGGGGGAGGGGGGTCACACAAATACATATACACACATATACATATACACATATATATATATACATACATACACACACACCAAAGAGACACCTGGAATGAAACGGTGGATCCTAAATTGGACCCAGAAAAATGGCTGGTGTCCTTTTGGTTCCCCATGTCAAAACCATGGAGCCCTCCCTTGTTTGCGTTCCGAGTTGGACGCCTGGTGCGTTTGGGACAAGCGCAATGGAGACCAGATGCGTGTGTCCTTGTGTGACGGTGTCATTGTGTGACACACAACCCCACCAGCTGGAGCATGCGATGCAAAGCGCCCCTGACATGTAGGCCTCTGTCGCACCTTAGACCATGGGCGCCTGCTAAGCACTGTTCAGTTGCTGTTCCGACTGCTCAGGGGTCTCCTGAACAAAAGGCCTTACGATTGAGCTCCTCGCATTGAGAAAAAGGGGTGCTGTTGGGCTCATTCTCACCTCGGGGCTTCAAACCCGTTGATTGCCGAGCGCTATGGGCCAGCTTGCCCCCCCCCCCCCCCCGAGCAAGTGGCCAACATGTGGCTTGTTCTTCCATGACGAAACTGGAGGAAGGCAATGCAACGGGCGCAACGGAACGCTCTTGCCTGCGTGGCCGCGCTGAGGTCTGTGGGGCTTGGGTTTGTGGAGCCTTCCTTCTTGGCATCCTGACACGACTGTGGGACGGTTGACGACTCCCGCGCGCGATGAGAATGCAGTGCACACACATAGCCTAGGTTCAGTGGCTGCGGACCATGGCATTGTGCCCGCCCAGTTTTGCGGCAACGCAACCCTGTTGACGCACATGTTCATGAGGCTCGGATTCCAAACAGGGAGAATGGCCAGCTCTTCCGAGCATCAACGACTATTTCGCTGAGCGAGGGCAGCGTTCGCCACAAAAAAAAAAGAGTCACCGGCGACACCAAAGGAGGCCAGTAAGTTTCCGAGTTGCTCACCACGTGTTCTCCAAGTTCGGAGGTTTCCTTTGAGCTTCAGAGAGCGATGCCCCTCTCCTCCTCCTCCGTCTTTCGCAGCTCCTGGCGCAGCTCCGCGGCCTCCTGGGGCAGCGGAAAAACAAACAAAACAAACACTGGGAGCGGCCCCTAGAAGAAAAAGCGACCCACCGAAACGTCCATTGGCTGAAATGAGGATTTGTTTTATTTTCCCCTCTTGGTTTTAAAGGGCATCGATTTCACTACACTGGACATATTTTCGCATTTTTTCCAACCAGCTGAACCAACCCAAGGACCAGAGGGCCAAGAAAATATGCGGCGGCCTCGCCGTTTTTCCGCGTTGCGTCTGACACATTGGTGGCTGGGGGCCGCCAGTTGTTGGAGGGGAGGGGTCCAAACTTTTGGACCCAGCCCCGCCCCATTCACAGGGCTGCGCGCCTTCTCGAGGCGCTCCGCCTCATGCTTCCACTCGGCCTGATGGCTTCTTTGTGACAAAGAAGACCACCCGCCCTGGGTACCTTCGCCCTGGCACCCCTGGCTCAAACTGATCATACCCTTTGAGGTGTTTTTGTTTTTTCCAAGAGGCTGAATTGGCATGGCAGGTGGAGCTTTTGTAAGCTAAAAGAACGAATCTGAACATCCAGAACATGTATGTGTGCGCGTGTGTGATGCACCGACGAGATTGGGCATGCCCAAAGGCTGCCAACATGAACACCAATCCTGACGAAACTGGACTTTGTGCGTGCACGAAACCACATGAACATGTCAAGACGGGGCCCTCTGTGTGGCCGGTTCCTACACCCTAAGCCCCCACGTTTGCCTTTTGCGCTGGTCACATTTGAAGGCTTCATCTCGGTTCAGCACTCCCAATTGTTCAAGCTGTCAACGGGTTTCAATGCTGGCAGCCGAGGGGCCGCTCACTGAGACGGGCGAATGAATTGCACCCACAAACTCGCGCACTTCCACAAACACAATCACATACTGTCACACAAGGTGAATCAACAACTCGCTTGTCTGAGCGGAGGCCGAGAAGGAAGCAAACAACATCTGCCGGCATCCCAAGCCCCCCACCTTCAGCTCATCTCTGAACTGCCGCTCCTGCGACTATCACCCCAAAAAAAAAAGGCGTGTAGGGGTGGGGCTCATGCTCACTTTTGGCGCGCACCTCGCTAGCGGCCTGCACCCTCGGAACCAACTTGACACGAGGCCTGTGAAATCGATTCCCAGGAACTTCCCTCGGCATCCACAAACGTTCATCCACCCCATGGAGCCATAGGTTCTGCCCCATGGCCACATGGGTTTTGGAGAAGTCAGGATCGGCCCTCCGGCCCGGGGCGACGGTCTGGGCCCCCGCCTGTCGGCCATCCTCGCGCTGCTGTTGGCGACGGTTCTCCTCCCGCTGCCTCAGGTGGTACTCCTGCTGCCTCTGGCGCTCTCCTTGCTGCTTCTGGCGCCCGTCCTGGCCGGAGCAGGCAGGGGAAAAAAACAAAAAAGCGTGCCAAACAAGTGAGAAGTATGTTGCTGGAAGAAAGTCGCTTGCTTGGCGCCTTTCAAAAGCCCGGCGGCACGACGCCTGGCCTCTTTTCGACATGAAAAGAGGCCTGGTCTCTGCCGGGCAAAAGCCGCGCTCTCCGGACATTTGCAGTACAATCTGCTGCCCCCCCACTCGCCAGTGTTTGAGTGCAGGGCCGCAATGCGGCACGTCAGGCAACTCGCAGCCCGCGAGTAACACGCCGGAGCGTTCCAAGTCTGGAAGGCTCACCCCAAGTTGCTCTCTCAAACCCAGGGATCCTTGTTTGTTCGTTTCTTCTTGTTGGGCATGAGGATCACCCCTTTCGGCTCCCTGGGTTGGGCTCTGTGGAGGGTTTGTTGGGTTGAAAGCTCCTGGGAGCCCCTTGTTGGCTTTGTTGATCAAAGCTCCCTTTCGGCCACAACTAAACCACCCCTCCATAGAAGCGGACGTCCGTCCTGCGGCTTGGGCTCCGCCGCCAACGCGATCAGCCCCTGCCACTCCCGCGTGTCATGTGAGCATTCTGTTTCGCGCGGAGGCCCGATTGGCGGATACACGGTTGGTTGGAACCATGTTCTATTTCCAAACTTCAATCCACTAGACTTCATAGATGGATTGCCAATGAGCAAGAGAAGCGTCGCAGCAGAAATGCCGGGCCCAGCAAGTGCTACTCCCTTGCCCTTAGCACCCGGCCTTGGGCGACTCGGATTTCTGCGCCTTCGCCTGTTCCTGCGCCTCTTTGGCTTCGCGCGCCAGTTCCGCCTGCAGCGCGGCCTTCTCAGCCTGGCGCTCCTTTACCAGCCGCTTGTGCTCTTCCTCCAGCTCAGCCTGACAGGCCACATAGGTCTGACGGGTCGCTGGTCACTGGTCTAACACGGATGGCATCATGACTCGCCAGGACGCTTCAAAACGCTTCGGATTCCTTATCAAAAGCCGCGCTTACACGTCCAAACGCCCCCGCGTCCAAACGTACACGTCACCGCGCCTGCAGGCCAGCCGCCTCGCGCTCGCGCTCGCGTCTCTCCCGCTCGCGCTCCTTTTCCTCCCTGATGCGCTCGCTGGGGCGCACTCCGCTTGCATCATCCTGCGGCTCGAACACCCGCAAATGATTCCGCGTCTTGTGGAAGCAAGCAACACGGTTCAATTTCGGCCCAACTCTGGCCCACCATTCATTCCAGCTACAAAGCAAAGCATGGCAAATCATACACGCATATTGTGGTTTAGATGGGGATCACTTGTCGCCGTCATGGCAAAACAGCAGCGTCCTGTCTCTGAAGTACGCTGTCTCAGATTGGAAACCAGCCCAAAGAGCAGTCCCATCATTCCAATCAATCAAACCAGTCAAAACAGTTGAAACCGACCGTCCAACCAATTGAATTACGCAAAGCGATCGAACCCGTGAAAGGTCGGTAAAGCCAGTCCAACGGTCACCTGAGAAAGCTGTCAGTCCTGAGAAGGACGGGATCCTGGCGTCACATGCCCAAACATCTCAAGCGCCGCGCTCCATCCGATCTGCCTAATCTTCCGTCACATCTCCCACTCTTTCGTTTCAGTTGCAGCCCTGCCTGCAGCCTTGTCAGACTTGTCCGACTTGTGCGACTCGTCAGACTCTGCGTCCCCTTTGCCGCTGGCAGCGGCCAGAAACACTTCCGCAGCGGCCTGCAAATCCGGAGCAGGTGTGCCAGCACACACCCAGCCTAGAAAGCCCTGATGCATCTGCAAAAGCAAAGGCCGAGCCGGCCTTGGGCGACTCTGATTTCTGCGCCTTCGCCTGTTCCTGCGCCTCTTTGTCTTCGCGCGCCAGCTCCGCCTGCAGCGCGGCCTTCTCAGCCTGGCGCTCCTTTACGAGCCGCCTGTGCTCTTCCTCCAGCTCAGCCTGACAAGCCACATAGGTCTGACGGGTCGGACGAGTCTAGCTGGTCACTGGTCTGCCGGGGACGGCATCGTACTCACCAGGACGCTTCAAAACGCTTCGGACTCCTTTTTAAATGCTGCGCTTGCACGTCCACACGCCCCGTCCCAAACGTCTACACGTCACCGCGCCTGCAGGTCAGCCTCCTCGCGCTCGCGCTCGCGTCTCTCCCGCTCGCGCTCCCTCTCCTCCCTGATGCGCTCGCTGGGGTGCACACCGCTTGCATCGTCCTGCGGCTCAAACACTCACATATGATTCCGAGTCTTGTGAAAGCAGTCAACACGTCCACCTCTGCCCCACCATTGATTCCGGCTACAAAAGGAGCAAAGCATGGTTTAGATGGGGATCACTTGTCGCCGTCATGGCGAAACAGCAGCGTCCTGTCTCGATTGGAAACCAGCACAAATCGCAGTCCCATCATTCCAATCAATCAGACCAGGTCTAAACTGTTGAAAACGTCCAACCAATTGAATTACTAAAACCCATCAAACCAGTCAAAGGCTGGTAAAGCCAGTCCAACGATCACCTGAGAAAGCTGTGCAGTCCTGAGAAGGACGGGATCCTGGCGTCACATGCCCAAACATCTCAAGCGCGCTCCATCCGATCTGCCTAATCTTCCGTCACATCTCCCACTCTTTCGTTTCAGTTGCAGCCCTGCCTGCAGCCTTGTCAGACTTGTCCGACTTGTGCGACTCGTCAGACTCGGCGTCCCCTTTGCCGCTGGCAGCGGCCAGAAACACTTCCGCAGCGGCCTGCAAATCCGGAGCAGGCGTGCAAGCACTCACCCAGCCTGGAAAGCCCTGATGCATCTGCGAAACCCGGAGGCCGAGCCGGCCTCGGGAGACTCTGATTTCTGCGCCTTCGCCTGTTCCTGCGCCTCTTTGGCTTCGCGCGCCAGTTCCGCCTGCAGCGCGGCCTTCTCAGCCTGGCGCTCCTTTACCAGCCGCCTGTGCTCTTCCTCCAGCTCAGCCTGACAGGCCACACGGGTCTGACGGGTCGGACAATTCTGACTGGTCACTGGTACGTCATCGTGACTCACCACGACGCTTCAAAACGCTTCAGACTCCTTCTCAAAAGCTGCGCTTACACGTCCACACGCCCCAACGTCGAAGCGTCCAGGCTCCACCGCTCCTGCAGGTCAGCCTCCTCGCGCTCGCGCTCGTGCCTCTCCCGCTCGCGCTCCTTCTCCTCCCTGACGCGCTCGCTGGGGTGAACACCGCTTGCGTCGTCCTGCGTCTCAAACACACGCAAATGATTCCGAGTCTTGTGAAAGCAGGCAACACGATGGCATTTCTGCCCAACTTTGCCCCACCATTGATTGCAGCTACAAAGCAGAGCATGGCAAATCATGCATGCATACGATATTATGGTTTAAATGGGGATCACTTGTCGCCGTCATGGCGAACAGCAGCGTCCAGCCCAAATAGCGTCCTATCAATCAGACCAGGTCTAAACTGTTGAAAACGCCCAACCAATTGAATTACTAAAACCCATCAAACCAGTCAAAGGCTGGTAAAGCCAGTCCAACGATCACCTGAGAAAGCTGGGCAGTCCTGAGAAGGACGGGATCCTGGCGTCACATGCCCAAACATCTCAAGCGCGCTCCATCCGATCTGCCTAATCTTCCGTCACATCTCCCACTCTTTCGTTTCAGTTGCAGCCCTGCCTGCAGCCTTGTCAGACTTGTCCGACTTGTGCGACTTGTCAGGCTCGGCGTCCCCTTTGCCGCTGGCAGCGACCAGAAACACTTCCGCAGTGGCCTGCAAATCCGGAGCAGGTGTGCAAGCTCTCACCCAGCCTGGAAAGCCCTGATGCATCTGCGAAACCCAGAGGCCGAGCCGGCCTTGGGAGACTCTGATTTCTGCGCCTTCGCCTGTTCCTGCGCCTCTTTGTCTTCGCGCGCCAGTTCCGCCTGCAGCGCGGCCTTCTCAGCCTGGCGCTCCTTTACCAGCCGCCTGTGCTCTTCCTCCAGCTCAGCCTGACAGGCCACATAGGTCTGACGGGTCGGACGAGTCTAACTGGTCACTGGTCTAACACGGATGGCATCATGACTCACCAGGATCAGACTCCTGCTCGAAAGCTGCGCTTACACGTCCACACGCCCCAACGTCGAAGCAGCCACACGTCACTGCGCCTGCAGGTCAGCCTCCTCGCGCTCGCGCTCGCGCCTCTCCCGCTCGCGCTCCTTCTCCTCCCTGATGCGCTCGCTGGGGTGGACACCGCTTGCGTCGTCCTGCGGCTCAAACACACGCAAATGATTCCGAGTCTTGCGGAAGCAGGCAACACGATGGCATTTCCGCCCAACTTTGCCCAACCATTGATTCCAGCCACAAAGTAAAGCATGGCAAATCATGAATACATATTGTGGTTTAGATTGGGATCACTTGTCGCCGTCATGGCGAAACAGCAGCGAGCACAAATAGCAGTCTCATCATTCCAGTCAATCAGACCAGTCGAGAGCAGTTGAATCCGTCCAACCAATCAAATACTCAAAGCGATCGAACCAGACAAAGGTCGGTAAAGCCAGTCCGACGATCACCTCAGAAAGCCGTGCAGTCCTGAGAAGGACGGGATCCTGGCAGGGCTGAAGCGTGCCGCTGGGTTGCCAGCTGAACTGTGAACCCACGCATGCCCAAACATCTCAAGATCTCTCCATCCGATCTAATCCTCACTCATATCCCCCAATCTTGCATTTCAGTTGCAGCCCTGCCTGCAGCCTTGTCAGACTTGCCCGACTTGTGCGACTGGTCAGACTCTGTGTCCCCTTTGCCGCTAACAGCGGCCAGAAGCACTTCCGCAGCGGCCTGCAAATCCGGAGCAGGTGTGCAAGCACTCACCCAGCCTGGAAAGCCCTGATGCATCTGCGAAACCCAGAGGCCGAGCCGGCCTTGGGCGACTCTGATTTCTGCGCCTTCGCCTGTTCCTGCGCCTCTTTGTCTTCGCGCGCCAGTTCCGCCTGCAGCGCGGCCTTCTCAGCCTGGCGCTCCTTTACCAACCGCTCGTGCTCTTCCTCCAGCTCGGCCTGACAGGGCCACACGGGTCTCACGTGTCGGACGAGTCTGACTGGTCACTGGTCTGACGGGGACGTCATCGTGACTCACCAGGACGCTTCAAAACGCTTCAGACTCCTTCTCAAAAGCTGCGCTTACACGAAAGCGCCCACACGTCACTGCGCCTGCAGGTCAGCCTCCTCGCGCTCGCGCTCGCGCCTCTCCCGCTCGCGCTCCTTCTCCTCCCTGATGCGCTCGCTGGGGTGGACACCGCTTGCGTCGTCCTGCGGCTCAAACACACGCAAATGATTCCAAGTCTTGTGGAAGCAGGCAACACGATGGCATTTCCGCCCAACTTTGCCCAACCATTGATTTCAGCTACAAAGCAAAGCATGGCAAATCATGAATGCATATTGTGGTTTAGATGGGGATCACTTGTCGCCGTCATGGCGAAACAGCTGCGAGCACAAATAGCAGTCTCATCATTCCAATCAATCAGACCAGTCGAAAGCAGTTGAATCCGTCCAACCAATTAATTTCTCAAAGCGATCGAACCAGACAAAGGTCGGTAAAGCCAGTCCGACGATCACCTGAGAAAGCCGTGCAGTCCTGAGAAGGACGGGATCCTGGCAGGGCTGAAGCGTGCCGCTGGGTTGCCAGCTGAACTGTGAACCCACGCATGCCCAAACATCTCAAGATCTCTCCATCCGATCTGCCTAATCCTCACTCATATCCCTCACTCTTGCATTTCAGTTGCAGCCCCGCCTGCAGCCTTGTCAGACTTGCCCGACTTGTGCGACTCGTCAGACTCTGCGTCCCCTTTGCCGCTGGCAGCGACCAGAAACACTTCCGCAGCGGCCTGCAAATCCGGAGCAGGTGTGCAAGCACTCACCCAGCCTGGAAAGCCCTGATGCATCTGCGAAACCCAGAGGCCGAGCTGCGCCTTCGCCTGTTCCTGCGCCTCTTTGTCTTCGCGCGCCAGTTCCGCCTGCAGCGCGGCCTTCTCAGCCTGGCGCTCCTTTACCAGCCGCCTGTGCTCTTCCTCCAGCTCAGCCTGACAAGCCACATAGGTCTGACGGGTCGGACGAGTCTAACTGGTCACTGGTCTAACACGGATGGCATCATGACTCAGCAGGACGCTTCAAAACGGTTGTTCGGACTCCTTATCACAAGCCGCGCTTACACGTCCAAACGCCCCCACATCCAAACGTCTACATGTCACCGCGCCTGCAGGTCAGCCTGCTCGCGCTCGCGCTCGCGTCTCTCCCGCTCGCGCTCCTTCTCCTCCCTGATGCGCTCGCTGGGGTGAACACTGCTTGCGTCGTCCTGCGTCTCAAACACACGCAGATAATTCCGAGTCTTGTGAAAGCAGGCAACACGATGGCATTTCTGCCCAACTCTGCCCCACCATTGATTCCAGCTACAAAGCAAAGCATGGCAAATCATGCATGCATACAATATTATGGTTTAGATGGGGATCACTTGTCGCCGTCATGGCGAAAAAGCAGCGTCCTGTCTCTCAAGTACGCTGTCTCAGATTGGACACCAGGACAAAGAGCACTCTCATCATTCCAATCAATCCGACCAGTCGAAACAGTTGAATCCGTCCAACCAATTGATTGACTCAAAGCGATCCAACCAGACAAAGGTCGGTAAAGCCAGTCCGACGATCACCTGAGAAAGCTGTGCAGTCCTGAGAAGGACGGGATCCTGGCAGGGCTGAAGCGTGCCGATGGGTTGCCAGCTGAACTGTGAACTCACGCATGCCCAAACATCTCAAGATCTCTCCATCCGCCTAATCCTCACTCATATCCCCCACTCTTGCATTTCAGTTGCAGCCCTGCCTGCAGCCTTGTCAGACTTGCCCGACTTGTGCGACTCGTCAGACTCTGTGTCCCCTTTGCCGCTGGCAGCGGCCAGAAATACTTCCGCAGCGGCCTGCAAATCCGGAGCAGGCGTGCAAGCACTTACCAAGCATGCTCAGCAGTGTGCCTGGCGACGCTTTCCGACTAAACTCTTTGCCATGGAGGAGAAATATTGTTGGAGCCTTCAAACAGGGGAGTTCTGAGAACTGTCTTGCAAAGTGCAGGGTCTCAAGGTCTTCCCTGACCAATCTAGGAACCTACCCAGCAACATAGGTCCACAAGAATCCCCCCCCCAGCAACAACTCGAGCCCAATTTCACGGCGATACTGTGCTTTTTTCTCCGCCTTTCCCTGGAGTTTGTCCAGCCTTGTGTGCCTCATGCTTCTTCTTCTCCTGCGCCTCCTTTTCCTCCTTTTCCTCAGTTGTTCAGTGACCCTGGAGAAATTACTTCGCTTCGAGCAACCCCCACCCTCCACAATCACGAGCTTACGACCGTGAACACGGTTGTGTGAATTCGAGCATGGTTTTCGAGTGGCTTGGGGCCTATGACTGCTCAACAAGCTTTGCATTGAGAGCCTTATCCACCTGTCTGCGTGTGAAACTCCACTTGTCTGCGAGCCGATACTCAACCAACGGTTCCGTTAACAAAAGCCAACCCCCTTCCAAAAAGAAACCCGATGGGGGGTTAAACGAAGTTGCTAATTCACAGCCCAAAGCAACACAAAAGCATCACCCTTTCCGAGCCTCAGGGTACACCCAAAACACGACGGCACCAACATGAAGCGTAAACCCAACTATTTGCCGGACGGGACATTAAGCAAAACCAGACTGGCGAGCTGCTCTGGCGGGACACTGGCGGGATCCACTGCCGAATACTGGCGAACCGCTCCGGCTCGATACTGGCCGGACACTCGGCAAGATCCACCGGCAAGGGATAGTCAGCGGGATACTTGGCGCGATTTATTGGTGAGTTACTCTGCGATACTCGGCGGGATACTTGGCGGGATCCACTGGCGGGCTGGTCTGGTAGGATACTCGGCGGGATCCAGCTACTCTGGCGGGATACTCAGCGGCGAGCTACTCTGCGATACTCAGCAGGATACTCGGCGGGATCCACTGGCAGGCTGCTCTGGTGGGATACTAGGCGGGATCCACTGACGAACTACTGCCCGGCTACTCGGCGGGATCCACTGGCGAGCTACTCTGGGATACTCAGCGGGATGCTCGGCCACTGGCAGGCGGCTGGGATACTCGGCGGGATCCACTGGCGAGCTACTCTGGGATACTCAGCGGGGGACTGGTGGGCCAGCCGCTCTGGCGGGATACTCGGCGGGATCCACTGGCAAGCCGCTCTGGCGGGATACTCACTGGCAAGCAGCTCTGGCGGGACACTGGGCGGGATCCACTGGCCAGCTGCCGTGGGATACTCGGCGGGATCCACTCCCAAGCTACTCTGGCGGGATATTCAGCGGGATCCACTGGCGAGCTACTCTGGGATGATACTCGGCGGGATCCACTGGCGGGCTGCTCTGGTGGGATACTCTGCGGGATCCACTGGCAAGCCGCTCTGGCGGGATACTCGGCGGGATCCACTGGCGAGCCGCTTGCTCTGGCGGGATACTTTGTGGGGGCGTGGTGTAGAAGCATCGCAAACGCAAGTTCCAACATAAAATCTAACAACCCCTTCCTGTCGGGTGGGGAAAAAGGGAACCCTACTTCTTAGGGAAGACCCCCCTTTTTACTGGGGCAGCCACCCCCCAAAAAAAAAGAAGGAAGACCGTTTTTACTGGGGCAGCCACCCCAAAAAAAAAGGAAGACCGTTTTTTTTACCAAAAAAGAAAAGGGGAAAAAGGGTGCCACTGAACGCGCCTGAGTTTCCTTCCGCGCCTCTTGCGCCTCGCGCCTTACCTCCGCCCGCAGCTCCGCCTCATCGGCCTGGCGCTCCTTCTTCAGGCGCTCGTGCTCGGCCTGCAGCTTGGCCTGCCAAGTGAGAAGTCTAGGAGACACAAGTCAGGTTTGCTTTGGATTCCACGTCTGCAAGGGTCTCGAGCATACGAGCCACCTAGATTCATAGATAGTTCTAGGGATTCTAGGGGTAACTTCCCCATTCTTTCCAGTCCTTCTTTCCAGAAAACCCTTCAGAACGGATCCGGTGTTTGAAAAGAACGATGGTTGAAAAGAATGGAATTGGAATCAACCCCTACAACAAGGAGAAGCCCTTGCTGTGAACAAGTGAGATTCCCCCGCGCCCATGAAGCAACTACTCTCAAAACATTCAAGACTTCACTCTCAACCCTTCTACGCAGACCCAGAATCCACATGGGTATGGGTCAAAAAATATCACCACCAGGAATCGGACCGCAGGTGAAATCGACTTTGTTGCCATTTACCAGGGCAAACCATCCCTCTCTTCCCCCCCTCCCCCCCCTCCCTTCCCCCCACCCACACCCACCTCACAAGGCTCCCAAAGCCGCCTTCAGAGCGGCCTCCTCCTTCTCCGCCTCCCGTCGCTCCTTCTCCTCCTCTCTGATCCATCTGCGAGCGTCCTGAGAAACATGCGGCGGTTGATTGGTCGAAAATCGGGCAAAATAGCTTGCCCTGGTACATGGAACCAAGGACGATTCAACCTGGTCCGATTCCAGGTGGTTTCATTTGGACCCACACCCATGTGGCAGTTTCTTGGCCACGCCCAACTGGTGCCTGGAACCTGCCTGCCTTGGCGCCTGTATCGCATGCCAGGTCCATGATTCCCTGATGCGTTGGACGGCTCAATGCCACGTCATCTAAAGCTGGACCTGAAGCAACCTTTTCACGGTGGTGTCCGAACCCGTTGCCTGTCTTTGGGGGGAGAGAGCTGTCGCGCCACCTGAGGGCCAGGCCGTTGAGTTCCCTTGGCTGTGCTCAGCCTCGGTGCCTCAGTGTGCCAACGCGCTTCTCCCGGCCGATGGGGTAGCCATCAAACAGGGGTGACTCGTGACTATTCATGGGTGGGACGACCCGAGCCAAATAGGGACGACGTGTGAAGCACTATGAAAGGCAACGGCCTGCTTTCGCTCGGTGAATCCTTTATCCTTTATCCGGGGCGGGCTCGGAATTTTCAACCATGGCCACTCCTACAAGGCGCTCCGGGCACCAGCGCATGGCTTGTCTTCCGTGTTTCCTCTTCTTCTTCTTTTTCGCGCTGCCGGAAGCTGGTCGAGGAAGGCGTTGGAAAATCCCCGGCCATATCCAGCATGGACAAATCAATATACTGACCTCTGCCTTGGCCGCACCAGTGAAATCAGGCGCGACCAGGCACGGTGATCGTTGGCGGGATCAGGGTGAAAACTAGCAGTTTGGCACATGACCAAGGGCCGACGACTCGGAAATCATGCTGTGCGGCACTCAGCGAGTCGACGGATCTTGGCACAAGGGGGTCCCTTCTGCCAAATCTTATGGGATCCCTCCCAGGCAGAGCAGAATGCCCGGAGGAAGATGCGCTAGCCACTGCCGCCCTCCAGCCTCAGGGCGGACGGCGACCGCCTCACTCGCCCTTCAGCATGCCCTTCACCACGCCGGTGAGCTGCAGCGGTGGCTCAAGCCTCGGCTCTCCACGGCCAGGGCTCAGGGGACACACACACACACACACTATGCACATGTTCATATATCTTAATTGGTTGCATTACATTACATTACCTTCCCCTACTTTACATTATGTAACGTGTCTTCCATCCGTCCATTAATCCATCCATCCATCCAGCCAGCCTTTGAACCCCATCCGACAATGAAGTCCGAGTGCAAGTTATTGTTCCGCGTGCGGACCAGGAGCATTGCTTCGACTAGATGCTTATCACAAGTCATTGAAGCATCTGCGAGTTGATGCCAAAAGCTACTAGAGCAGCACTCTGAGAAGGGTGGGTTTGTGTGTGTGTGAAACACTTGCAAGCAAGACTCATTGACAACTGGCTTCACCACACCGCCCTTCCGAAAGCTGCGCCCTGAGGCAACTCCATCAACTTTCATGATTACCCTGTACTCTACGCGTGGAGTCGGCTTGCTTCCGTCGGCTTCTGTGGCAGAGACAAGCCCCGCTTGGCTCCCGGTCACTGAGTCGGCATGTCCCCAGTCAGGGGGCGTCAGCTCGCAGAAGGTCCTCTGCGTCGCCTTGCGCAGGGCCTCTGCCACGTGCTCCTGGGGCTTCGGCGAGGGTGCTACAGGCCCAGTCTGCCAAGACCATGCAGCACATTGAGGCGCCTCACCGCATGAGGCACCTTCAATGAGCAGACAAGCAGCACTTGGAAGCCAAAGGGCGGAATTCGGATGACGAAAGCCTGCACACCAGCAACCCCCTGAAATTGGGATAGGGTGCCTTCCTGTGGCAGGTCTGGGACCTGCCCTCTTCTGAGGCTTGACTGAATTTTTCGAGCGGCACTTTCGCTGCGCAGACATGCGAAGCGAACCCCAAAATCAAGCGCCGCATCCCCACCCCGTAGCTGCCATCAGGCAATAGCAATTTCGATCCGCTTCAGCCAACCCGTGGAATGGTTTCACCACGGGAGCCCTTGCATTGCCCTTCATGCCTGGGACTCACTATCCGCCACTGCAGCTGCAGCTTCCGCAGCGAACTCCGCCAGCTCCTGAGGGGCCACCTAAGCCTGGCCACCTAAATCCGGCGTGGAAAGCAGATCTTGCGCCTCCAGCGAGGCGGCGCCCATATCGCGGCACCAGGCGGCCAGCTGCGGGCCGTACTGGCCCAGCCCTTGCTGCTGCAGCCAAGCCTCTGGCGAAAAACGCCCACACACAAAAAAAAAAACTTACTGCAGGTTGCCAAGAGTGCCACAGAACCACAGCTGCCTGAGTTAAACTGCAGGCTGCAAACTACCGGGTACAGCATCCCATGTCCAACTTTCCCCTCCCCTCCTTCCTCCTCCTTCCTGCCCCCCCCGCGCCGGAAACCTGCAGGTTCGACTGCAGGTCCTGCATGGCAGCGCGCCGCGCCAGCAGCTCGTTGCTGACCACCGCGTTCACCCGCGGAGCGGTGCCCAGGGTGATGTGCGGGTACACGTTCCTCGCAAGCAGCCGGGAGGGAGAGGGAGGAAGGGGGGGGCAGATCTTCCCGTCTCATAACTTAAAGAAATGTACATGTCGATCTGCAACTTGCCCTTATCTCGCTCTTTGCTCTCTTTGCGCTCTGATGGAAACTCAGAGGATGGACCTGGTTGATTACACCGGGGCCTACTTCTGTTGGGGTCGGACTCGGCACGTTCTGGATCCAAGGGGCGCGCACAGCTGCTGCACGCCGTGGCGCAGCGTCACCGCGCAGCTTGCGACCCGGCCCGCCTCCCAGACGATGCCCGACACCTCCAGCTCTACCGACTCCCCTGGCATCCGACGCCCGAAGTGAACGAATCGCACCCCGGACCCCCCGGACTGCTGGGTGGGCACCCCGGCAGCGCCGAAATTCAAAGCACCCCCCGACGTGGGAAGTCACTGCTGACAGATTTCGGCAGCGACGCCTTGCCGCCGTTGGAGCTCCTCCCGCAGCCAAGCCACGTGCTGCGGCCCATTGAGCGAGGGGTTCCTGGGGCGGGTTTTTGTTGCAGCATGGCCTGCGGGAGCGGTTCCCCAGGCAACAAGACAGAGAGAGGAAAACAAAAGACACTTACCCCCCCACGCGCCTGGTTGCTATCTCCTCATCCTTGCCACCACCCATGTACAGCAGGGTGACATGGTGCTCCTGGCCGTAGCGAAGAAGCTGGCAACGGGGGGCCTGTTGCAAGGCATCACACAGCTCCGTGTGCCTGCGCAAGGTATGCTAAAGCTGCGGAAGGAACAACCCCTCCGCGAGCTGGGGGAGGCTCCCCGTCAAAAGCACAAAAAGTGTCACTTCCGCTACTCAATCAAACTTCCGGGAAGGCAGAGACGAACCCAAGCAAGGCTGTGGGAAACGACCACTTCTGTGATACAAGGAAAAGGGCTTCCCAAAGACAGACCTGCCATAAAAAGGGGGAGATTCCCTTGTATCACAGAAGTGGGGATAAACCCCTTGATCCCACAACCCTGAACCCAAACCCCAGCACTTCCCAGGATCTGCTTTTGTTGGGAAGCGCAGAAGCCCCCAGAGCTGCCACAAACCAATCGCGCAGCGCCCTTGTGTCAGGCCTTGCTCCTTGCACGGGGCCTTGCTGCGGTGACTCATGCAATCACTAGCGCAATTGGCAGTACTAAACTAAGTATAGGAAAACTGAGAGAGCAAGTCTTGGCTATACTAAAATTGGCAATACTAAATCAAGTACAGGGAAATTAAAACTAAGGTTTGGCACTCCCTCTCTGGAATTCTTACCCTAGTTCTCCGTTTTAACCATCATTGCGAAGGTAGGCCATACCCTTCCGTCGGAAGCTGATATGTCAGACACTTGAGCAGTGCATCGTCGGCAAAGCTACACGATTCATCAAGTTACAATGAATCACCACATGTGCAGGCAGAGCCTGGGTTGGTTCTGTATCTACTAAACACCCTCCCGCGAAGTCGCCGTTTTGCGTTCTGTGTGGGCCTGCACGGAACCGAGCTTCCTCTTGTGCTGCCCCTCCCGGCCCGTCCTTCGCCATCTGGATGCCCGAGTCGGTTGCCTGTGAGCACTCCTTCCAGGGCATCATTCATCCGAAGCCCGAAAGGCATGATTTCGCGTGCAAAGGTTTGATGAACAGGGCCTTATGCCGAAAAAAATGTGGAGGGTTGATTTGGCTGTGCCTGGTAAGTGGAAACATGGACCAAAACCTGCGGTTTGCCCCTCCTCTTGAATTTTGAGCCACACCCATTTACCAAAGGCCCCATACAATCATTTGAGAGCAATCGGGTTTGAGAGCAAGCGGCCCTGTGGAGAAGGCACGCGTGGCGGCGTGCTGCAACATGCAATACTAGGTGGTTGCCATGTTGCCGGCTGAAAACCAAAAAAGCAACACGCGACTGGACCAGAACAGTGAACCCCTCAATGGCTCTTAGTGGGTGGGCAGGATAACTAGAGGCCTTCATATGCGTCGTGAGGAAAACTTTTCCCCCCGCCCCCTGCCACCAGAAACAGCGCTCAAGCAGAGTGTCTTCAAGGCCATCCAAACGCTCCACGTACTCTGCTGCCGTCACATGGCACCTTCCAATCGTTCAGCTAGTGTCACTGGGCAACGTTGCTGCTGCAGACCCTGCTTCAATGCTCAGAGTCCTGAGCCTCAGAGGGATTGGTTGGATTCAGTCTTGCACCAGGATCCCTTCCAGGCTGGGGTTCCCACCAAAAAATGTGTGCCAATCTCAGGGGTGGCATATCCCAAGCCGGGAGGTGGGTGGTTTTCATATCCCAATGGGGCATCCCCCAAAGCACCCAGCCATTTGCTCATGTCCGCGGTCCTCCGCCCGGCCGCCCCAGGCCATCAGCTGCTCCGAGGAGTCGGCCGCAAGCTTCACCGCCCAGTACCACAAGGGCCGGGGCTTCCTCGGCTGCCAAGAGATGCGGCCCATCCCCGCTACCTTAAAAGGGGGAGGGGGGTGGGAACCGGGTCCCACAACTCCATTGGCGGGTCCCACAATTCCATTTACTCAGTCTTCCGCACAAAAGGGAAAATGGCTCACCCTAAAGGGAAAATGGCTCGCCCTAAAGGAAAAATTGCTCACCCCAAATGGAGATCTCCAGAAGTCACGAGTCACCACCCTCCCCCAATTCCATTTTGAAGGGACCCGGTGGGGATGGTCTGTGTGTGTGTGTCCCCGCAAAACCGAAAAAAATGGGGGAGGTTCGTAAGGGCCGCGTGGTAAGAGATAAGACGTTGGTCCTAACACACATGCCCAGGTTTCTGCTGAACTAGGGGGATGGAAAAGGTACGTTTGCTCGTTGCCTTTCTAGGCCAAGAGCATCCAAAAGGGTGGCCAATGTGAGGACACCCAAG